AGTCCTAAGTTTGTCGGATGGAAGTATACTGAACTTCAAAATGCAAGTGTAGCCTGAGGCAACATTCCTTGAAGGTCAAAAAGGTGATGATTATGACTGTCAGAAATTTTTTTTTCTAATGTTTCACTGAAAAGCTTTTGCTTCATGTCTTTACTTTTGAGCAATGTGCTAAATTTAGAATCTATGGCAGTCAAAGTTTTTGAGTGAAAAAAAAGTCCAGTTTCATAAATCTGAAATAATTCAGACAAAACAAATGTTTCATTGGGTGCATAAAATCAAGAGTAGATTTCCAGAAATACAGAAATAATGTATCTCCCCTCTTGATTTTTATTTTATTCTGGTTTGCTTTATTTTAAATAATCAATTTAAATTGAGAGTAGTTCCCAAATGCATACATTTAATTTTATTTTATCTCATTCGACCAGGAGATGGCAGTACCTCGTAAATAGTTCCAAAAATCCAACAAGAAGAAACGTAGGGGGGACGCGCGCCGGTCGTCGACGGAGGTCGGAGGAGACGGTTGGAGGAAGAAGGCGGAAAAACAAATTACAAATTGAAATTGTAAAAGGCGGATTGAGCATAAACTGGTATGTGAATGGTTCGGTTGGTAATGGAGTTAGGAGATGAGGAAGATATGGATTTTGATGGGTGGACGCCAGTGGGGAGAGGAAGAGAGAGAGGACGTGGAAGAAACAAAATAGATGAAAGAAAAGAAATTGGTGAAAGTCAAGGAAGTAAACGAGAACTGGAAGAAAGTAGCTCAGAGGAAGAAAGGATAGTTAGGAGGAATGTTGTGCGGGAGGAATTTAAAATAATATTAAAACTTAAAAATGAGGAAGGACAAGATAACATTAGCCCCATTGTGGTGTCAAGAGAAATAAAAAAGAAAATTGGAGATGTTGAAATGGTAAAAATGTTGAGAGATGGGAATCTGTTGTAAAAACGAAGAACAAAAGAACAAGGCTCTAAACGTGGAGAATATTTGTAAAAAGAATGTGTTGGAGAAAAGAATCATCGGAGAAAATAAAAAAACTAGAGGAGTGATTTATGGGATCCCTCTAGATGAAGATCTTGATAAAATCAAGAAAAGTGTAGTTGGTGCAAAAGTGAATAACTTAAGGAGATTGTCCAAAACAATAAACGGGGAGAGAGTGGGGAGTCTGTCAATACTCATGGAATTCGAAGAGAAAGAATTACCACTAAACATCAAAATAGGTTATCTCAGTTTTCAGGTCAGGCCTTATATCCCTCCACCGCTTCGTTGCTTTAAATGTCAAAGATATGGACACATAGCAGCAGTTTGCAAAGGAAAGCAGAGATGTCCAAAATGTGGAGAAGATCACAAATTAGAAGAATGTAAAGAAGAAGTACAAGAAAAATGTAATTGTGGAGGGAATTATAGAGTTACATATGGAGGATGTGAAGTCAGGAAGAAAGCAAAAGAAGTCACACAGATTAAAATGACTAAAAATATAAGCTATGCAGAGGCAGTTAAAAATGTGAAAGAACAGAAAATAAGAGAGATTGAAAAAACGAGGCAAATTCCACTGCAAAGTGAGATACAGTCAGAGGAAAAGGTTGTGATATCAGTAGAAAAACTAATATTATTTATGGCATATGTTATCAACTGTACTGACCAAGCCAAGAATAAAACGGAGAAGATTAAAATTATAGTGAGGGGAGCGGAAAAGTTTTTGGGGTTTAAAGAGGGATCATGGGAGAACATAAACGAAAAATTGGAGGTAGACAGGAAGCCAGGAACATCTGGTGGAAATAATTCATGTTAATATTACAATGGAATGCAAGAAGTTTGATTGCTAACGGACAGGAACTTAAAGGATATATTGATAGTCTTGAGGAAAAACCAGAAATTATTTGTATTCAGGAAACATGGCTAAAAGCAACGTTAGATTTTGTGATTAACGGATATGGTAGTGTAAGAAGAGATAGGCAGGAGGGAGGAGGAGGTGGATGTGGAATATTTGTAAAAAAAAGGGATACAATATCAGGTTTTAGGGAAAGGGAAAGAACTTGAATATATAATAATTGAAATTTGGGAACAAGGTGGTAAAGTTAAAATAATAAATTTTTATAATCCATGTAAATTATTATCAATTGAAATAATGGATGAATTAACTGAATATTTGGAAGGAAAAGTAATTTGGTGTGGGGATTTTAATGCTAATAGTACATTATGGGGTAAATGTAACGATAGAAATGGGAAAATAATAGAAGAATTAATAGAAAGTAAAAATCTTGTATGTATTAATGATGGGAGGGGAACTAGACTTAATGTAAGAACAGGAATGGAATCAGTTATTGATTTAACAATAGTTTCAAATGGTTTAGCGAGTATTTGTGAATGGATCATTGATAAAAATACAACAATAGGTAGTGATCATTATCCCATTACAATAAAAGTAGGATTAAATATAATATAATAAAAATATAAAGGTCAATAAAAATGGGATTTTAATAAAGCAGATTGGATTAAATTCAGATTTTTAAGTCAAATAAAATTAGAAAAAGTGGATATGGAAATGAATATAGATGAAATAAATTTAAAAATTTGTGAGATAATCTTGGAAGCAGCAGATAAATCTATGAAGAAAATAGGGTGTAAAAATTATAAGAAAATAGTACCATGGTGGACAAATGAATGTAAAGAAGCAATAAAAGTAAGAAACAAAGCATTTAAGGTATTAAGAGGTAATTCAAAATATGAGAATTTAATTGATTATAAAAGAAAGCAAGCAATAGTAAGGAGAATAATTAAAATGCAAAAAGAGAATATTGGAAAAAATGTTGTAGCACAATAGGGAAGGAAACAAAAATAGAAAAAATTTGGAGAATGATTAGAAGAATGAATGGCATTAAAAGAGAATTTGAATATCCTATATTAAAAGTAGATAATATAAATATAATTAAAGATGAAGATAAAGCAGAAATATTGGCAAGAACATTCAGTAAAATCCACAGTTCAGATAATATTAGTGAGGAGGTAGAAAAGGAAGAGAAAATACAAAACTCAAATATAAAGATGTGTTGCAAATGAAGAAGAAGCAAATAAATTGTTAAATGTTGAATTTACAAAAGCTGAATTGAACTCTTCATTTACAAAACTTAAAAATACAGCACCAGGTAAAGATAAAATATGGTATAGAATGATAAGTCATCTCAGTGAAAAATCTAAAGAGATAATATTGAAATTATATAATAAAATTTGGGAGGAGGGGAAATTACCAATGGAATGGAAAGAATCAATTATAGTACCAATAGCTAAACCAGGGAAAGATAAATCAAAACCAGAAAATTATAGGCCAATAGCTTTAACATCAAACTTATGTAAAATAATGGAAAAAATGATTAACAATAGACTAGTATATTATTTAAATAGTAAGGGGTATATAGTAAATTATCAAAGTGGATTTCGAAAAGGGAGGAGTACTAATGATCCAACAATATGTCTAGAGCATGAAATTAGAAAGGCACAAGTAAATAAAGACAATGTGGTGGCAATATTTTTTGATATAGAAAAAGCGTATGATATGATGTGGGTAGAGGGATTATTAATTAAATTATATAGGTTGGGCATTAAAGGAAAGATATATCAATGGATTAAAGACTTTTTACTAAATAGGAAAATTCAAGTTAGAATCGGTGAAGTAACATCAGGAGTATATAGAGTAGAAAATGGAACACCACAGGGGAGTATAATAAGTCCGTTATTGTTCTCTATTATGATAAATGATATATTTAAAGGTATTGATAAAGAAATGGGATGTTCACTCTTTGCGGATGATGGAGCGGTTTGGAAAAGAGGGAAAAATTGAGGTTTTATTGTTAAAAAATTACAAGATGTTATTAATGAGCTAGAGAGATGGGCATGGCAATGGGGATTTAAGTTTTCAGTTGAAAAAACAAAAGTAATGGTATTTACTAGGAAAAAAATAAACAGGGAAGTAAAATTAAAATTATATAGTCAAGAATTAGAGCAAGTAAAGTGTATAAAATTTTTAGGAGTATGGTTTGATGATAAACTAAAATGGAATGTACATATTCAGAAAGTTGTCGATAAAAGTAAGAAAATCTTAAATATTTTGATGCTTGGCTGGCAATGATTGGGGAGCAGATAGGCAATCTTTGAGACAGTTTTATACAGGTATGATAAGAGCTAACATAGATTTTGGTTGTATTGTTTACGGTTCAGCAGCGAAAGTACATTTGGTTAAATTAGATGTAATACAACATCAAGCATTAAGATTATGTTCTGGAGCATTTAAAACCACACCAAGGGCAGCAATGGAAGTAGAGATGGGAGAAATGCCATTAGAATTAAGAAGATTAAGGTTGGAATTAAATTATTGGTTAAATTTGCAAAGCAATAATATTGATCATCCGGCTAGGGAAATTTTAAAACCATGTTGGGAAAAAGAAACAAAAGAAATGGGGAGTCTTGGATGGACAATTGAAAACAAAATAAAAGAATTTAACATGAGTAGTCTGGAAATTAGTCATACAACACCAACATCAGTAATACCACCATGGATTCTACCAGAAGCAACAGTAGATATGACAATAATGGATAAGAAACAGGATAAATCTTTCATCATTGATAGTAGTTCAGTGCAGGTACTTTTAAACAAGTACTATCAGTATATTCAAATCTATACAGATGCATCAAAAATAACTGGAAAAGTAGGCATAGCGTTTGTAGTACCAGAATTCAATATAAGAATAGGAAAACGAATTACAGACGGATTATCAGTGTACACAGGAGAAATGATGGCAATTTCATTGTCTTTACAATGGGTGGAAGAGATAAAACCATTAAAAACAATAATCTGTTCAGATTCAAGATCTGCATTATTAAGTATTAAAAACAAGCAATCGGATAGTAGAATGGACATTTTATTAGAAATATTTCACACATTATATAGAATAAAAATATGGGTGTGATAGTTAATTTTGTATGGGTTCCAGCACATATGGAATAGAAGGAAATGAGAGGGCAGATAAATTAGCAAAAGGGGCAATTCAAAATCCAATTAGCATTAAAGTTAAAACAAGTAAAGCTGAAGGAAAGAGTATAGTTAAGGAAAAACTGACGGAAAAGTGGCAGGAAAGGTGGGATGAAGAAATAACAGGAAGATGGTATTATAAGATTCAGAAGATGGTAGGAGAAAGAAGAAATAGAAAAGAGGAAAGAGTGATAACAAGGATAAGATTTGGGCATACAGGACTTAACTACTCACTTTTTAGAATTCAAAAGCATGCAACTGGTAAATGTAAGTATTGTGGAGAATGGGAAACAGTAGAACAGGTTATTCTATTATGTGATAAATATGAAAGAGAGAGGAGATATATGAAAAAAGAGTTTGAAAGTATTAAGGAAATTTTTAATTTAATAGATATTTTGAGGAAGAGTTTTGAGAGCAAACATACAAATAGTTATTCGATTTTTAAAGAAAACTAAGATATTCAGTAGAATTTGATAGAGTAGACATAAGAGTTAATGTATGGATGATAGTGATGAGTAGAATATAAATATGGATGTAAGTATGTATGTGTAGGTATAAATATAAATATGTTTTTTCTTTTTTTTGTGTGTGTAGGTGTATGTATGAATATATATAGGTATATATATACAGAGAGAGCGTTAGACCAACACGAGCCACACTCCATACCAGTAAGTGGCGGTAATGCTACTCTAAGTTTGTTGCCAACCGCCAATAAACACAACAAGAAGAAGAAGAAGAAGAAGAAACGTAGAGGAAGCAGGAAGTTTGTGTTCGCTGGTTTTATGTTTGTCCAGTTTTTCATTAATTTTGAAAACGATCATCTTAAGCTCCATATTTTATAAAGCGGGGTCATTATTATTGCTTCAGAATAAACTGGTTTATTTAAGCAGACCAGAGACAGAAGGAGCGGTGTCTTTTTATCGGCGCTAGCTAGCTGCTGCTGAAGCTGCTGTGAAGGAGAAACATCTCAGTTGTTGAGAGTGAAGACTCCAGGGCTGCAGTTTGGATGAAAAGTACAGTGGACACCAACATGATTAAGGAAAACCCGTGGAAGATACCTCCCAACGCCCCTGCGTGTATGGAGAAGCACCTGTGCGCGGCTCGGTACCGAGCAGGTAAGCAGCAGCTAGCCGGGATCGCTGGAGGAGAAACACGTGGTTTTGCTGGGTCGTCATGTTTACAGAGAGGCAGTCCTGCTGCTTCCATATGATAAATTATGATGAACCACAATGTGCCAACAGTTGTCAAGAACATTTATGTTCACGTAATGTGGAACGGAAAGATCTTTTTTAATATATTTATCTGCTTTTCTCTACAGATGGCATGCTGCTGCTGGGAGCCTCCAGCCTCTCTGGCAGAAACTGGCAAGGATCCGTTTGGATCTACAGCGAACCGGAGCAAGCCCCCAGCGAGGGGCTCTGCAAAGCTGGAGTGCAGACTGAGGCTGGGGTCACAGATGTCCAGTGGGTGACTGAAAAGGGAGTGGCTGTCGCCTCAGATTCGGGTAAGGCCTAACTTCACAGAACCTGGCTGAACCACAGTGACCTCAGACTGGAATGAAAATGGATTTCTTTTGGTTATTTGTTCTGTGCAGGCGCCCTGGAGCTCTGGGAACTGGCAGAGGATGAGCGCCTGCTGATGAATCGCTTCACCAAATATGAACATGACCACATTGTCACCACTGTGAGCCCCATTACTGGAGCAAGCAGTGCTGTCACTGGCAGCATGGACTGCAGGTTAGAGAGTAGTTCACACATGGAGCCATGCATTTAGAGGGAAGCATATGTTCTAGATGAAAATATAAAGATGTTTATGAGCTTTTAACACTTTATTATGTAAAAACTTGAACAGATTTTACGTGATAGACCAATACCAAGTGCAGCAAAATTCTGAAGTAGAAGTAATCTAGATATTCAGTTTTTTATAAATGACAAATCAAACATTTGATGTTTGACTTATTTGTATTCAGCAACTGATTTAATGAGCCATTTGCAGTTTCACTGTACCCGCCGTGTGTACTTATACTTGCATTGCTTAATCTTTGAGACACTGTAGACCCACTATTGTCTGCCATAACAGTCGGAAGGTTTTGGGGGATGTCTCAACTAGTTTTGTATGTCTAGAAATAATATTTTTGCTTGTTCCTAGTTCCAAAATACCTGAGACATATTTAATGAGAGTTTCTGAACTTCCATTTTCATATGCTGTGATATGAAAATCATAGTATGAGATTTTCAAAGTAGACAACTCAATAGTTATCCTATCAGCTCAGCTGTGAATATCTGCAATGCCAATGTTACCACAGACTTATTTAGTCTTTCTGTGATTAATGCTGTCTAGCCTGCTATATGAAGTGAAAGGTCGTCTGTATGTTATGTTCTTTACTCTTCATATTTTTTCAGCTGATTGTATGAACAGTACTCCCTAAAGATGTTCAGTGTTTCAATAAATTAACCATTCTCTAAATTCCTCCTCTACTTTACTCCTGATCCTTCTGATGTGTTCCTTGGTCTTCATGATTCTGTTTGTTCTCTAATGTTCCCTAACAAACCTCTGAGGCCTTCACACAACAACTGAATTTAGACTGAGATTAAATTACACACCATTTACAAACTAGGTGACTATGAAGGGGAATTTTGTTGTACTACATTTTATTTAGTGGTGTGAGATAAAAGGGAGAAGCAATCTGTTCTCCTGAGATTTGATTTTTTTTTTTTTTTTTTAAATTTGAAAACCAAGTTATCATTTTGGCTCCACTTTAATCATGGACTACTTTCCCAACAAATTTATTAGTTTTTTCTTTAAAATTTGACAGACTTTCAAAAAAAGAGAATGATTATCAGAAGACAAAACTTTAATTAACCTTTTTACCAACTTAACTTTTTTCTTTTCCTCTTTTTTGTATTTTCTGTTCATCCATTTTATTCCGATATCTTTTAAACAGAATTAAAATCTGGGACCTCAGTCAGGAAACAGTTGTCACCACCTACAACGGTAAGAGAACATCTAAAATCCACTTTATCAAAACAACCTTAAAGCCAACTTGAAATCAAATCGTTTTTTATTCAGACAAGAAGTTATCTTGGTTGTAGTAAATTTCATCAACTGTTTAAAAGCGAATTAATCTTGAATGTAGTTTGAAATGTCTAGACCTTCGTTATTTTTCTCCTTGCAGTTCACACAGAGCCTGTTAATTGTGTTGCCTGCAGTCCGACAGATGAGTCTCTCTTCGTCTCCTGTGGCCAAGTAGGATTCCTTTCAATGTTGTGGTTTCATTTAGGGAAATGTGTCGAGGAGAAATCAGTTATTTAACCCAACCCGCATATTCTGACACACAAAGGGGGAAAAAAATGTCCTGCAGGTTAATAGATAGTTTTAGTTTGAACTGCATCGACATGCATGCTGTTAGTTGTTGGTTTACTGGCCAAATATTGATTCATTTAAAAAAATAAAAAAATATCTCAATATCTGACTTGCCATTCATGGATCAAATCAGTGATAAATAAGCCAATTCAAGTTCAGTCAGTAGTAAAACTTAACAGTTAAGTTAAACGACTTGTCATATTTGACAAAATTTGGTTTTCATCAAAAGTTATTTCTTTGTTCAAAATCTGTTTAGCAGGGTCTTTCTTTAGATAAAGAAGATGCTCCTCAAATGGAGAAGACGTGTAGGGAAAATTAGCGGGAACAAATTACTTTTAATTAGTACCAGCAGTTTTACTTCTTCAACATAAACCCTTCAAGTTGAGGAGTTTTCAGTTCCGTTTTCTTTCCCTCAGGATGGTCGTGTGTTGATGTGGGACAGGAGAAAGCCGGATAAACCAGCCTCAAGAATAGGTAAGCAGGCTACTGTAGCATGATGTCTTAAACTGGACTACCTTCTTGATACCTCAGCTTTACAGGGAAAGGTGATACTCTTTACTTCTGCGGTTTGTTGCAGATGTTGAATTTCCCAGTTGCTCTCCCACGACTGCTGTTTGGCACCCCCACCAGAGAAGCACTATTGCTTTTGGTAAGGTCTGCCAGCAGATTGTTGACTGACAGAAGCACAATTCTCCTTCTCTCCCCCCGTTTTTTTTTTTTCTTGCTTCTTCACATTACCATTCTCGTTTTCTCTCAGGCGATGAGATGGGCAATGTGTCTGTTAAAGATTTCCTGGGATCAGAACCGGCACAGGTGAAAAAAATACACAGCCGCAGAGTTAACAGCCTGGCCTTCTCTACAAATAGGTAAAGATTTAATGTGTCAAAATATCATTTTTGGCGTTTCCTTTCCTCTCTTCTCCTTATTAATCAACAGTTTATTTTTCCCACCCTAGTGTCCCTTTGCTAGCCTCTGTTAGTGACGACTGCTCCCTTGCTGTTATAAACTCTGAACTTCAAGAAATGTGAGTCTTTTCAGTTCACTTAGTAACTCTTGTGTTCTGCATCAGACAATAAACAAACTACATTTTCTTTCTACAGTTTCAGAGATCGGCGACACCAGGACTTTGCTAAAGGTGTGAGTTGGCTTCACGGTGATTGCAACAGGCTCACGACTGTCGGCTGGGATCATCTCGTGCTTCACCACACCATCACTCCAAATACTGAGTCCTCATCTTAGACCTGCATGGTCACAAGTGGCATATCAGTGTGTCCAACATCAGTCCTTGGAGGCTGGTGTCCTGCGTGTTTTTATTTCCCTGGTTCAACACAACTGAATCAAAAGGCGGCTCGTCTACAAACCTCTGTCGAGCTTTGACATTCTGGCAGGACACCAGATCTGGAGGACTGGATCTGGACACTCATTGATGATTGAATATAACATCTTATTTAGGAGAAGTGAATTGAAACATCCAACTCACAGATATGTGCACATTATTTTGTGTAAGGATCTTCTCTGTCTGGTGGAACTGGTTCATGTTGTGTAGCATCTCCATATTTGCACCATAGACTTTTACATTAAAGGAAAGCTAAAGCTGTTATGAATTTTTTTTATGTGTTCAAATGTTCGGACTGAAGGTGTGTAACTTTTATATAATTTTTTTTGTGACATATTTCTTAAAACTTTCACTATGTTGTGACGACATAAGACAGATATGTGAAAAACCTGAGCTGCCCTGCTTCCTCCCTATTATCATATAGCCCTTTGCAGAAGTTTATCTCTGTCAGAAATAACTAATCAAAGCCAGGAAGAAGGTCTTGGTGTTTCCAGGAGAGTCATTATTATAATACAATGACTTTTTAACATAATTGGTAAAACATCTTAGTTTTGATTTTTCTCTTTGCTTATGACAACCTTTCAGGCTTGTATCTGTAATTTAAGCAATGAAAGCCCTGTTAAGAGCTGTTTATCCAAAATGAATTGAAACAAATATATTGAAAAATATTTACCAGTATATATCAATTCAGTAGATTATATTGTTAAATATTCCCAAACAGAACAAAAACAATAAAAACAAAGAAATGTTCATAAATGTTTATAATTTACACAGACATCTACTTCAAGCTTACTATGTACAGTGGTAGTTGTGTAAATGTAACCATCTCAATAATTAATTATAGGATAACTATAGTTAGCACAATATTTTTAAAATCAATAAATATAAAAACTACATGCAACTGGTTACCTAAGTTGACAGTCTGCTTTGTTCTGGAGGACTTATGTACATGTAACAGAGGATGGACAGAATGGTTACAGTGTGTGTAATTCCAGCTTATACACTTAATTTATACAACATAATTTACATCCAATATTTGAGAGAACAACAGAATTTTTTATCAACTATATAATTTACATAAATATAGACAATAACCCATATACATTTTCATTAAAAAAAAAAACAGTTTACGGCTTTTCCTGCCAGATACCAATTGTTTTGATTAGTCGGGTTTAAATTGGACTGATTTATTATAACGCATAAAAGACAAAACATACTGCAGGTTCTTGATATTATATTATATTATCACCTACATTTAAAATATTATACCCATGTAGGTACCGCATCACATTTTCTCAAACTTTACTTGATGTGGATTAAGTGTGAATAGTGCATTAAAGCCAATGTTTTTGGTCATTTACTTAAAAGAAACAGGAAAATGTTTTTTTATTAACAATCAATTAGAGCCAATCAAAGAAAATTTGTGCATCTCTAAATGAAACATAGGATTAAACACACAAAACACATTGCATTTAAAATATCCACATTACTATGAGACTTTCAGAAAGAAAACATTGCATTTTAAAAATGGAACAATCATCTTGACAGCATGAACTTCCTAATTAATAAAGAAAGCACTTGTAACTTCATAGCTAACTGAAAAATTGCACAAATTACTGCTAAAGTAAAATCACATGACTTAGGTCCTAGATACACGACACTGGATGCTTTTTAAACTGAGATTTTCTTTCTCAGTTTCTAAAAATAAAAATCTGAACCAACACCTCATTCCAAGCAAAAGAGATGTAATACCTGTGCTGCACCCATAGATGATGATGGACAACATTAAAATGTAAGAGAAAATCCTGAGCACGGCTGAAGCAGTACTTGGGTAATTGTGACATCTGCCAGCAATATTTCATGTTCAATGAAAACAGTCAGATGTACAAAAACCCAGAAAAACTGCTCAATTGTTGGTGAGATTTCTGACATAAACAGTCTGGATCGGCATGTTCAAAGGGGACTTTGGTGTCAGGTTTTTTTTTTTAATATGTATTTTCTCATTTTCACCAAAACTCAGTTTTGTGCAGTATCAGGTGTTGCAGACACAGGGAGAAATCTCACAGAATATCCATGTCAGGGCCTTGGCATATGCTACTTTATATACAGCTGGTTTGTTCTTCATTCAAAGACCTTTAAGAATCCTCTTTACTTGCAAGAGTTATGGGCTGTTTAGTTCCAGGCCTGATGGTGAAAGTCATCCCATACTGGTGTCTTGAACGTATCCCATTTCTGTGGAGAAGAAAACGTGATGAGTGATTGCAGTGATTAAAAGCTGGATTTGCCTACAAAGATATGATCTCCCTGTAGGTAGCCCTGATGTACTCACTTGGTGGGACTCTTCACTTGTGTACTCTGGTATTTTTTCAAAACTTTGGTCTCCAACTCTTTCATGTTAAAAGATGCTGGTTTGTTGCTGGGGGGAGGTGGGTTTTTGGTCCCCTGTTTAGGTTGTGGCACTGCTGGCACCTTGTTGTCTTCATCAGAAAAGCCAGTACTCCAGTCATCAGAATTGTGCTCTGAGTCATTAACTGGGGCCATTTTTTGGTCCATTACCAACATCTTTTTCTGTAAAATACTGAGGAGGGTGGCCTGGTTTTGTGAAAGATTGGATGGTGCTTGAGTGGAGGCTGGATTGGATTTAGTCTGGACTGGTGGCTTTGGTTTGACTTGTATGTCAGAAGGCGGGAGCTTTGGAGGTGAAGGGGCTGGAGCTTGAGCTTTGGCTGGGGTTTTAGCTGGTGCTGGAGCTGGAGTTTGAGTTGGGGCAGCAGCTTGAGCTGGGGTCTGAGCCATCACTTGAGCTGGGGCAGGAGACGGGGCTTGAGCTGAAGCTTTAGGTGGTGTTGGTGCTTTTTCTGTGGGGGGATTGGGTGGACAAATGGAGGGGGGATGCTCTGGTATTTGATCAAAGTCACCAAACTCTGGTGGTGGAGGCAGCAACGGTACATTTATATTCTGTTTAGGAGTATCATTTTGTAAGTCATGAGATTTTAATTGCTTTTCTTCTGCTCTTTGCTTTTGCTCAGTCTGGTTGCTTACAGCTGGAGATGAGAGTGCTGTGAATTTACTCAAAACTGGACCAGTTGAGAGTTTCTGGTCTTTGGCCAGTGCAGTCGAACTCATGGGTGTTTCTGTAGCCTGAATCGTTGTTTTAGTTTCTGCAGGCCTAAGAGTTGCACTCTCCTGCAGACTATTTTGACTTGGTTGAACTGAAGACGTTGATGTTGGAATGACAGTGACGGAATTAGGACTTGGTTCATTTCTCCTGGTGCTGCTTTCGCGGGACAAAGATTGAGTATTTTTATTTTTCTCTCTTTCCTTAGCGGCCTTCAGGAGGGCGAACGGCGAGGTTGAAGAGTGTTTGGGTTCGTTAGCCTTCAGGCTGTCCAGCTTACGATCCAATAGAGGGCTGAAACTGCGGCTTTGACCTGGAGATACTTCCAGTGTGCTCTTGGACTCTGAATTGATCTGGACATTAGTCGTTCTATGCAATGGTGAAGGCTGGAGGGGTTTCGTTATCTCTGACTGAGGTGGGACAGTGCCTGCTTTAGTCTCTGTTGGAGACTTTGTTTTAATCTCTATCTTTGCTTCTGTTTTAGGTACTTTGGGAACTTCAGGTAATTCAGATTGTTTAATTTCTAAATCCCCCTTGGGTTGTTGTACAGGTTTGGGCTCTGGTTTCGGTAGCTGAGGAGCTTGAGAGACTTTTCCATCCACCTTCATCACAGCAGGAGCAGAGTTAGCTCCTGCTGTGATCTGCTGCTGTGTTGCCGTCTGATTATCCTTCTCATTCGAAAATACTGTGGGCTTTGGAGGATTGTACACCTTTGCGTTGTTCTGGGAACTGAAGGTGGACAATGTGGAGGAGGGCACTTGGGGAGGGTTTGCTGGGGGCTCAGCAGTGGACACCGAAGACGATCTGATAGGTTTCGGAGGTGGAACCTTATGACTCTTCAGGTGCTTTTCAGTAGGTGGTTGCGGAGGGGCGAATTTTGGACGTTCTGGTACTTGGGTTGGCGGTGGAACAGAGACAGGTGCTTCTGACCCAGGTGCAGGAGAACAGTTAGATGGCGGTTTTGGAGGCGCCATTGGTGGTGGTTTCAAAAGGGACAAATCTTTCTCCACCACAGATGGTGGTTTTGGAGCAGGCATGGATGGAGGCTGGAGGGCCACAGGATCTAAGCTGTTTAGGTCACCCATGAAGTCTGGTGGAGGAGGGATGAAATTCACAGGAGGGGGTGGAGGGGCCACTGAGGGAGGAGGAGGAGGAACAAAGATCTTCTCTTCAATGTGGCCTGGGACGGATACAACAGAACCATTGGAGGAATGATCTCCAGCACCTGTAAAAGACAAGAAATAAGAGCAAAGACCACAGGCTTTTATTCTCAAAGCAATTTCCTTCCATTGTGTTTGAAGATGTGTAGATAAAGATGGTGGTGTAAAATGTTACTTATGTGAAGTCTGAAAACATAAAACAATATCCCAAACTTTGAACATGCAATCAAACACTGTTCAGTCAATCCACTAAAAATGGGATTGACAATTTCAAACCTGCCAAGAAATGGTAGGTCACCTGATTAATGCTCTTTCTGGGATGGGAAATGCCTAGAGGTATGTACGAGGCAATCCTGGAAGAAAACCTTGTAGAAGCAAGGTTGAAACTACAGTGAATGTTGGCTATTCAGTAATATAATGACCCTAAATATTCAGCCAAAACTACAATAAACAGTTTAGACATAGGCATGTTCATGTGTCTGACTATTTTTCAAAAGAATTTGCAATGATTTTAGTCTTTAGATTCGAGAGGCTGGCAGACATACCTCAAAAGACCCGAAGCCGCAATTGCAACAAAAACATTTCTATGAAGTAATGAGAGCTGGAGACAGATATTTATTTGTAAAGCAAATTACTTTATGTTGGTCTATCAATAAAAATATTTATTTTTTGTGGTTTTGCACAACTTTGTAAGGTTTAAAAAAAAATATGCAAAAATATAAAAATCTGAGATACATTTCACATTGGCATGCTGAAAACGTAAATTTTATTTTGAATTTCTAAACCGGAAAATAGTCTGAAAGGTAGAAAAACACTCCCCTTGTGTAAATTTGTTCTCCATCTTTTGTGGACTTTTTCAAGAGAGGTATTGAGCAACTTCCTGGATAAACATTTACATGACATGGATGTTTTCTTTATTCTTATCCCTGTGATCCATCACCTGAGTCTAACTAGAGGAGCCACAAATTAACTTGCTTTAGCAATGACTAAAAAAAGGCACTATTTACTAGTTTCAACCTTAAGTTCATAGAAGGTATTATTTAGATGCTCACCTGTCCCATTGACTATTGGGCCATTGGCAGGGGGAAGTTCAGGGACTGTCGGAGTTGGGACGGCACGTCCTTGGAAGGTTTCAAATGAGAACTGCAACAAAAAAAATCCAATCACAAGATTATTGAATTTACTGTCATAAGAAGCAGACACAGCACAAGAACAGAAGTCTTAAGTGTAGAAGCCGTACATTCTGTTCTGCAGGCAAATTTTTCTTTACTTGTTTGTTGGCAAGTCTTCGCTGTTAAAGGTGAACAAACCAGTTTTTAACTATTACGTGGCCTGAGTGTTGCAGCATTGAAAATTCGATGCATTAATGGCATAAGCACCATAAAATTGTCAACCATGTGATTTTTATGAGCTTTCACACATTGCATAGCATCCAACAAATTTTTGTTTTGCATTTTTTGCGGGGAATACCACACTCCCTAGTGCAAAAATGCATGGCCTTTTCTTACAGGATTGTCATAATGTAATCATAGGTGGATAGTTTCACATTCTTTGCTTATGAGGAACATTGGCTGAATCAGAGGATCCACCTATAATTCATAACACTGCCTGTTGTCAAAGAATGCCTGGTGAGTTAGGAAGCTCACAGATGCGTGTGTGTTTGTGTGTATGAGTTAGGTGGAAAAAAAACTGATGCAGAGAGGGGCGATGCTCACATCACGGAACCAAAACCACCAAAAACAAACACAGACTGTGTTGACACAATAGAGATCCTCGAGATCTAATGCTACAAATCTCTCCAGCGTCACTTGGCATGTTTTTTTTGTTTGTTTGTTTTTTTTTTTTTTTTTCACTGTGTCTTGGTGAAAGTTATCTCCTTGCCGATTGCAAAAACATTTTATATGAAGTTTTGCTTGTATGGATTAGATGTGAAAAGGTTTGGGTCGGTTATCATTTTACCAAGATCTTAAACAGTTAAAGTTTCAAAACTGCAAACGTTTTTTTGTTATACTGCTTAAAGTCAGAAATGGGTAGCTGCATCGACAATAATCTCCCATGAGTTGTGGCCTCATTGTCAGATGATTGAAATATGGCAACAAACAAGAATGACAAGAATTTCCTAACAAACGAGAATGACAAATTTAGAGTTTTAGAATTTTTTTCAATTGCAAAAACATGAGCACTTAAGTATCCATCCTAAAGTACCAAGTCCTGCCACTAAATTCAGCTTTCCAGTTTAGTGGAAAGCTGAATTTGGAAAACAATAATCTACCTTTTATAATCAATCAATCAATCAAAAGTGCAGGAGTGATCAATGTCAAACATGAGTAACATGCTCATTGCCCCAGGTCCCACCTATTGCTGTGGACTGCTGTTCAGCAGGCTGAAAGAGGGTGAACACGCTTTTCTCTCTCTGTTTCACTCCATAAGACTGGTTCAAATGTGTTCTTTGTCATTTGCACAAAAAAAAAATGTATGCAACCCAGAAGGCAGGAATTGAGGTTATTATTCAGGCTTAAATTTTCTTTCTTCTTGATCACTGTAATGCATGTTTCACATCAACAAAAAGACTCCGGAATCACTCCCTTCAGCACAAAAACTCAAGCAATCAACATAATTACTGTGTGAATGTGTTTGAATTGACTGACCACATATTTTAGAATATATTTTAAAGCCCTCTCTAACTTTTAGCGTCCATCTCCTTTGAAAAAAACCTAAAATTATTTGCAAACCTGGCAGATTAAGGTTCAAAGTATTTTTTATTTTATTTATTTGAGCCACATGTTTCCTCAAACTACAAACTTTGGATTGGCTTGAAAAGGCTCCCAGTTTGAATCTGGGAGTTAGAGATTAAAGTCACAGAAAGGAGGGCTTGAAACCGCAAACATTTGGAGCTGAAGATAAAATATTAAAATACCAAAGGAAACATGCAAAAATCTGGTCAGCAAATTCAAGATGGATTTGATTGCTGGAATGCAAATAAATGTTTTCCCTGATTTCTGAGAGGGATACACATTTTTTTTTACATTCTATATTTTAAATAAAGTGTAAATAATAATGAAAAAAATGTATCTTTCAAAATTTAAACATCTTCTAGATGGCTTTATTATTTTTTTTTTAGAGACACCCATCTCATTTCCTGTCAGAAAGAAGCTTCTTCGGTCTAAAAATATTGTTGACACGATGATGTCAGGGGATATGAGTAATTCTGGTCTTCACAGTATATTACACAATCATTAAAGTTAAATACTCCAATACTTTGGTCCTCAAGTAAAAAATCTTCTCTTAGTCCCGAGAAGCGGCAGCAACACTCGATGAGATCATTTTTTCAGACGATTGCAGCTCAGCTGTAGACGAGCTTCGTTTGTTTTTACTTTACCTCGAAACTCTTGAAACATTTGAAAAGTGACTACATATTTTTATTAAGATACATTTTATTTAAAGTCCTCTTTTAAATTAATGACTTAGTTTTTAATTGACTTATTCATTGGATTTTGATTCACATGCTTTCTTTTTTTAAAGCAGTTTGTCATTTTTATCCATTAAAATGCTAAATTAGTGAGATACTCTCACTAAGGTAGCAGTGTTTTAAATTTAGGATTGAAAATCTATTAGCAGCACGTCTGTTGTAAATCTAAGTAACCAATTAATATCATCTTGTTTCACTCATATTAAAAAGTGAATGAGCAAAAACATGTCCTCATATTCAATAGAGTAAGAGTTTGGAAATTACAACTAAGTTTAGATTTTTGTTTTGTTTTGTTTTTGCTCTGTATTTTTTAAAAATTAATTTAATAAATAACATTATTAATCAACTTTTAAGTTATGCTTTAGTGGGAACATTTGTTGCATTACTATTTTAAACATAATAAAATGCAAAATTAGACAATTTTTTGAATGTCTCTTTTTTTCAGTTCAATGGTGTATAAGCCGTCTGGTCCCCTGCATGTGAAAATTAATCCATCTATCAATGCAGTGAAAGACATTTTACATCTTCTTAATAGCACACCCTGCATTACTCTCTCTTTGCTAATAATCCCTCTCACACAGGCGATCTTCAAAGATCATAAAGCGAGTCTGGTCATCGGAGGGTGTGTCCGATCCAGTTTGATTTAGTTTCCTCGCTCGGTGCTCGATGAGTCACTCTCAGCTGTCGCAGCGCTCAGAGCTGACCTGCCCATGTGCTGCAGGGTGTGTCACCTTCACATGCCTGAGGAACACTCCCAAACAAAAGGGCGAGGTGTGTGAACCGAGTGCTGATGAGTTCTTCATTTTCTCCATTACGAGATAATAGGAGGCCTGTCAGTCATACGTGCCGCTAATGTATACGTAATTGAGATTAATGTCTCTGAGATTCCTAAAAATATGCACTCTTGTGCATAAGTGGATGAGTCTGTCCTCCGCTACGATATGACGGGATGGCTAAACTTGCTAAACAATAACAATAAACAAAAGAAGCCCTTAGAGATCCTGTAGTTACGTTATGATGTTGCCAAGTCAGACAAGTTTTTAGCATTTTTTTTTTATTACAAAATATTATTAACAACTCAGTACTTTAAAGTACAATCTGACAACCAATTAGTAACTTTATATAAATGTAACAAAATATAAGGCAAATTGAATAAATTGCATGAATTCATCTACCTTTTTGTTTTTCAGTAAAGTCAATTATTAAATATTCATTTTATTCCAACTCATAATTGAAGCTACCAGTCAATCTTAAATCGGCCAAATATGTACTTTGTTACGAACAGAACAAAATGTCACGGCCAGTTTTTGTGTTTATTTTGCTATTTTGTTGTAAAAGTTATTTAACGGAGAGCAACTCTTCCCCTCATAAGACAAACGACCACAAGTCTGTCTCTGGTGACATCACACCAGGCATAGAATAACCAATTAATTTCTATAAATATATTTATAGACTCACTAATAGCCTGTCAGTCAGACAGACAGACAGACAGGAGTTGCTTGGTTAAGTTGAAGCAGTGCAACATCTTGCAAACCACACAAATATTGAAAGTGAGCAGAAGCAAAAAAAAATTTACTCATTTCGCGACGTGACAAACGCACACACTGAACCAGATGGAACTATGCAAACAGGAATGTAATTAAATTTGTCTGCTATAGTTCCTGTTTGCTTCAACTTCGGCTTTCTTGGTCATCCATCATGACTTGAGGATTATTAGTCAGACTCAAACATTTACTGCTCAAATCTTTGGAAATTAGATCAAATGACAGAGAATCTGTCAATATCTCTCAAAACTAACATTTTAATGTCGTTCAATCAGTCCAACTCAAGTCTCTTGTGATGTAATCAATTCAAATCTACTCAAAACAGATGAGCATGTTTTTTTCCCTTTGTGTAATTTAAAAAAAAATTATATTTTGTGGAAGTCAAAAGTTTGCACCAAGCTGTTTTTATTGTCAGTGTAAATTTGATTGTGAAATAAAAATACACCACGAGTATCTTTACTATTGCAGCTTTAACAATGACCATTTCTGAATAATTTCAATGCCAATTCTGAATAATGTCTTCCACAGCAAGACAAGCAGTGATCTTTATCACATCTACTTGCAATATCAACAAGGAACGTCAGTCTGCAGCTCCACTGAAAGATCATCACAGTCTCTTGTGATGTTATCAATCACAAGAGACTGATTGATTACACGGTAATCAATTACATTTAGGTTAGTTTAGATCTAAATGTTAACTGATAGAATCAAGAAACGTTTAAAAATCAAAACTCTACCAAAATTATTAAATCCACTGTTGTCAGTCTTGCACTAAAGCTTCCAAAGACAAGATAAATGTACCTAAATACAGACCAGATGTTTGAGGCTTTTTTGGATTCAGAAACAGATCATTAATGAAAAGAAATGAAGCTTCCCTAAATACTCACAGCATGATGCTTTACGGTGGGTCTGGCCCTCACATTGGCAGTCCCAGATTCGAAGATTGCAGACTCTGACTCCTCCAGCACCAGCTGAACACTGTCTGATGAGACATACACAGATTTTTGGGGGCATTAGATTAATATACTTTAGGCACTATCCACATAAATTTTCATTTAACATTTGTTAATGCTCAACCCTTCAATGTAAATAATTTGCTCACAAAGAACAAAAAGAGGGGGTAGCAGAGGAACAAGATGATGATGATGAGAAACAACATGCACCACAGTGACCTATAAGTGGCTATTAGTCAACTCAACTATCTGAGGAATCGTTTTACTTTGACAACATAATGAACGACACAGACAAGAAGCTCAGATTGTTGCTTTAAATTACATGTTGCCGCTATGGCTAAGTGAAAGTTCAGCAACAACGTATGGGAAGGGACACGGCTTGTGGTGAGACGTTAAGAAAACCGATGTCAAAGAAACCGATTCAACGCGATTTGCATCACTAAGTTGTTTTGCTTAAATGGTGTTACCTCACCAAAGTTTGCACGGCAAACACTGCAGCACTTGGGCTCGAGTTTGAGCGACGGCAGCAGTGAAATGTAAAACCAGGAATTAAAAAAAAGAAAATGTCTTCAGGTGTATTGGTTCTCACACAGAGCATTCTTCAAGAAATGAAATGTAAACAGAGAGTATGCTGCAGACAAAAACGCAGAAACATTTCCTTGTCGCATTGTTTGCCCAGTAAGTGACCGACGACAGATCCTTGTCGCTGAAAAGGCATTGAGCCTGTGCGTCCTTGCCACTCTCTGCGCTGGAACACTTTCACCAAACAACAATCAACTAAAGACACTACAAGCACAGAAAAGAGCCATGTCTCTTCTCACATTTCCGTCTGTTCTGAGACACAATGAGCACAACAGTCTGATGATTTTTCTTCTGTTCAAGACCAAAGAATATGATAAAGTCAGTGAAGAAAAAGCTGTGGAATGAAAACACTGTGGTGTTAAACCAGTCTAACCAAATGATTAGTTTCCCTATTGTGCCCCATCCTGATTTAAATACACAAATGTTCTCTCGCTCGTGTTGCACCTTTTGCACAGCAATTCATGCTGTGCTTCCTGTTCTCAGAGGCTGGACTGAGAGACTTACACTTGATCCAACGACATTTCATATGCACTGGCTTGGATTTCACTTGGTATGAAACTGTGAGCAAGTACTTAGCTGTTTTTCTTAGGAAGTGTTCATTTCATTGTTGATTGTTCCCAAATCCAGGTTAGTGATATTAGTGATGCAAATTAAAATCTTCCTTGTTTCATGCAAAAGTTTTAAACCGCTGTTTCAACATATCCTTAGCAGAACTGAACTCCATAAGGTCAAATGTGGCTTAACCAGTTTTAAGTGGGTTGAAAGTTGAGTGTCTGTTGGCTGTTAAAGTAAGATTTTATTAAACTTTAAAGTGAGTTTAAAAAGTCAAGCAAACTTTCTGATAAAACTGCTTGGTTGAAGAAGTCAAATCGTAACAACTCCATTCCTCTAGAAGGCATGAAGTCAAGAAACATCTATTGTGTTGAGCTGCCACACCTCCACCGATGATACTTTAATCCAAGAGATTTATGAAGAAAACCTTTCCTGTAATTCTTACCTAAGATTTTCGAAGTTTGCACTTAAGTAGAACACACAAAAAAAAGAAAAACTATTGGATTCACATTAAGCCCTTAGGTCACATCAAGCACAGGTATGTTTAGCATGAAAATGTTCAACGCGAAGGGGGAGGTGGCTGCAGTCAGAAATGACAGACACATTTTACAACGCAGTGGCATTTATGGATCCAATTGAGTATCAGCAAATGTTAGAAACAAACACGAGGAAAACTGGAGATGGAAATCCACTGAAATATTTCATTACTGGCTATTTAAGATTGACTAATTTGTTTTTCTGTTTATTCCAGATAAAAGTCCTTATTTAGATTGTATCTATGGTAACTTTCAAACGAATATGTCAAAACTAGAACACCGGACAGGAACCATTGGCGCTTTTTTCTATTAGTGACTATGGCTAGTTTCCCAGGGTGTCAGGAACTGATGGGGCGGCAGGAATAATCTGGAAAAATAAACTCTGAGTTATGTTATTTCAGTTATTTAATTGTATGTCCGGTGAATGGAAATATTGAGCTTCTAACTAGAAATCATCCAAAAGATTTTTCTCATTTTTCCTTAACATTTACATTTACTGTAGTTGTAATGAAAATGTAATAACAGGAATAATAATGAGATCCTCTGTTTCAAGAAAAAAAAAAATATTTTTAGTTCTTTTACCAAAACCTTTTTTTTAAACATCACCTGATTTTCTCAGTAAGTTTCACCACTTTTAAAAGTGTTACACATTTTCCTCTGGGTTTAGTTGAAACAGCTTTTTTTGTTTGTTTGTTTTCAGAAAGTTCCAGTTTTGATAGATGTCTACAAAATTCTATACAATAGTTGATAGATTAGCTATTTCTTCCACGGAACTTGCATTTTGTTTAATAAATGAATGTGCACAACTAATTTAGCAACACATTCACTTGAAGCAACTGTATTTGTTAAGGAAACTGCAAACATTGCACTTTTATCAAAAAGTACATGCAACATTTTCTGAAACGCAGTTTTAATGTTACTTGGTGTGGTCAAATAATTAGCAAAAAAGACATGTTTGAAAATATTCATTACTATATATTTATAAATATTTTAAAATTTCCTCCATTAATTTATTTTGCATGAATTAACAAAAATACAGAAACTGATTTCCATAAAGATATGTTTACTTACTTAAAGATGGAGGTAGATACATCTGAGTTATGAAAATGGGATCACAAGCGATACTTTTGGCCTTATAGGGTTCAACACACACCCTCATGTGTGGTGTGTGTTTTTGTAATTATAGCACTTATGTTCACTGACAAAGTGTTTAGCAGTAAATGGTTAAACTACAGCAACAAACTTAAGAAATTCAGTACTTCTTTCACTTTTGTTTTTTCAAAATGTATGACAATTGTTTAAAAAAATAAACATTTGAGCCATGAGGTCCATAATCTTGAATTTTGATAAAGAACTGAGGTCAGGTTTGAAGCTGGAAAGCAAACTCAGCCTGACTTTATGAATTTAACTGTGACACTACTGAAAGTATTTGTATACAACACAGTGACAGCTGTCCTTCAGGACTGGCATTCAGGCTTTACAAGCTGCAATAAAATGTGACTTCAGTGGACAGAAACTGCTCCATGTCAACATCAAGTCCAAAGGCCGTTTTAACCTCCAGTAAGTGGATCAAGAGAGTAAAGACTTGTTTTGCTCACCCCTGTCCGGAATCTTAATGTTGGTGTCATAAAGAGATTGGTTCTTCCGACCCAAAAAATGCAGCCCCTTCTTCATTGTTGACGTCGACTGATTCAATACGCAGGCAGGGGGGAAAAAAGAAGTGTTTGTTTGTTTGTTTTTTTAAAGTGGGATCACTTGGTCATGTTGAAGTAAATCCGAGCTGAAGCAAAGTCAAAGCCGGCAGCAGGTGCAGCAGGAGTGACTCTGCCTCAGGTACGCCTGTTTCTAGCAAACTTTTCAGGACATGCCAGATAAAATGGAGCAAACTCCGCCTCCTGTCCCTCTTTTGGTCCAGAGCGCCTCCCTGTTTCTGCAGCGACAGGTGAGGCCGCAGTGCGCGCATTCCAGCGCAAACCTCACCTGCGGACTAAATGGCCCGCTTTAGAGCCGCTCTCTGCCGCAGCTTTGATTGCAGGGGGATGAGTCAGTGAAACATGTTCGGTTCAAAGCAGAGCCTGGCAGAACCTGGCAGAACCAGGAAGGAGGAGGAACGTGGGTTGAATTAACCTCCGATAGGCACTGCGTTCAACATCGACTTGAAGTAAAAATTTCAAATATGAACTTGTTTTTGCTTATCAGGCAGATAGAAGGACTTCATCTGAAACGCTCTCTCTTATCTTGAGTGTAGAGTAAAGCAGCCAGTCATGTCGTAAAGTGACTCCACTCAAGTAAACAACTGAACTTTACAGCTTAGGCTCACTGATGGCTGCCAGGTTTATCATTCTGTCCTACTTATTGTGCCTTGCGTTGCGTTTTATTTAGATTTTCATGTCATATTGGTGCTGCAGAAACACCTGGCTTGTTGTGAATGACAATCTGAAAAGTGTGGCATCTGGATTCAGTTCTCCACTGTTCAAGCTTCTATCAACCTCTCACATCTGGCAAAGCATATTTGCAAAATTTCCACAATCTGTCAGACTAGGAAGATAGGGACCGTGAGCTTCCATTGTTAAGCCTTGCTACAGAGTATCAATTGGATTTACTTCTGAACTTTGACTGGGTCATTCACACATTTTGGATGGCTGTGTGCCATCCTGTTTTGGCTCTGGCTGTGTGCTTTGGGTCACAGTCAGTGTGTGAAGCTGAGTTTCACCACTGTGAAGTCTTTTACTCTCTCCAGTGTTATCCTTTAGTTAGCTTCATGTGAAGAGAAGCACACCCATACCACACAACCAAAGCTTTGTCAAAGTTCACCTCAGGTACGAGTGGGCGTCTCTGTGTTGGCTTTGTGAGGAACAAAGCCAATACAGAGACATGTGTCCTTGTGTTGGCACAGAGACACACGGACAGACCAACAGACTGGACACGGACTGGACACAGACTGGACACAGACTGGACACAGACTGGACACAGACTGGACAGACCCACAGACCCAGATCTGTCAGACACAGAATTTTTACTTTTCAATTTGCCTCAGGTATGCCTGAGGCAAAAAAAATAAATAAAAAAATGTGGTTTTGTTTTTTGGTCTTTGCTGTTGCCATTACTTACAACTAATTATATTCAAAACAAAAGGAAAATGATGGAAGAAATGTTGGAATATTTTGATGTACAAAAGGCAGCAGATGTGACTAAACAAAAAAAAATTGGCTTTTTAGCACAACTGGACAGAATTGGTCTCAACACAATAAAAATGCGATGAATCGGATAAGAAAATATATGTAAAGATTATGCAAACCGAGGGTAGAACTGGCCCAATAGAGAGCCATGAGGGATCCCACAGCAGATCTCAGAAAGGCATTGGAAACCCAGAACTGCCCCCAAAACAGCATTCATGTCCCATTGTTTCTAAGCTGGCGAGGTGTTACGGTTGGGAAAGTAAACACAATTATTTTCAAAACCGAGATAATAAATTTTCTGCTCTTCTCCGTTTCATTTATTCTGCTGGCTTTCTGGTTTGCTTCTAAATGTTATCGTTTTGTTAACACATGGACAAAATAGTTGCGCCTCTCACATTAATGACTAAACAGAACAACGGTCACTGAAATAACTTGAAACTGTCAAGAGCAATAATAAAAAAATTACTTAAAACTGAACAATGAAAAAGACAGAACTGGAATCAACAGTGACTTGTGCAGTCTTTACAAAGATTGGCTATCCATATAATTTTTCATTCTGTTTGGTTATTTCATTATATAATAAGCAGCTTTCGAGCCTATTTACTCTGTCTCTAAGAACTGGATGAGTGGTGAAGTTGCTTTGTATGACACAACAGCGAAGTTTGTTCAAGTATCCATGGTGTCCTCTTTGGTCTACGCAGTTGCAGATTGTCTTTCAAGTTTCTCCGTCGCACCTGAACATATCTGTCCCGCAGACAAACCCCACTGGTCCATCCAGTTTCTCCGTGTTTCGTGGGAATCATTCGTGCTGTTTGGAATAAAATGCAAGTAATGTTCTGCAGGCATTGCAGAGTACCTGCTTTTCAGGGCAGAAGACACTGGTATTTTAGTTTCTACTGACTCCTCTACTTACCTTTTACCTCTATTTTTCATTTTTATTTTTTGTAAATGTCACATATTATTTTCCCATAATCTTTTAAAGCAGTTTGACAAAGACGATAAAGATTTTATGATATTTTATTTAAACATGGCAGTGTTCTAACAAAACAGCAACTTCTGCTTTTCAGCCAGCTGCTCCTGCAGCAGTTCGACCAAATCCGAATATGAGTGTAACGATGTCAACAATATTTAAAGCTGCGGTATAACTTTTATAAAAAAATATGTTGTTTACACGTTTGTTCAAATTGTCACCATGACAGAAAAAATATGGGACAGATAACCTGGGATAAAAATGGAGTTCCTCTTCTCTCTCCTTATCAACCTGCTGTCATCTGAACAAATATGCTGCGCTGTCCGAAGCAACCAGTCAGAGCCAGAAGGAGGATCTCGGCACTGTCAATCATCCTTGTGTACCTGCTGCTCACACCCTCATCTTTTTGCTCTACTATGCTATATCTGGTTCACCACAACACAGCCTATTAATAATTCTCAAACTAGTTAGCATTGTCCCTGATGAAGGCAGATAAACAGTTTTCCTGAAACACTAAGCTGTTTATTCGCCATTTGCACATTTAGTAGCGTGTACACAGTAATGATTGGCGGCGCTGAGACCCTCCCTGAGCAAAAATAGCTCAGGGAAGAGGTGAAAGAGCTCAATCTTTTCAGAAATTATCTGTCTCAAGTTATACTTTCACAACATGGTGTCACTTAACAACTATGTAAAAACCATATTTTCATAAAAGTTACACACATAGAGTCCCTTTTATTTTACTTTGTACACCGTGGTGTGAAAATGAAATAAGGAAACAAGATATTTTTGCATTCCACGAAGATGAGATGCAGGATGAAATAGAAATGAAACCATAAAAACAAATTCCTCATTGCACAGAGGAACGTGTTGTCGGTTCAGTTGCAGTTTGCTGCTTTCGCACATTTTAGTTTTAGGGTCAGTGTAGTGCAGAGCTGTTTCACTGCAATTGCTGTCACTATATTAAGCAACTGCTGTCCTACACATGAAACCTGGTTATGTTTTTCAATAGTTTGTCATTTATTGCTTCTAATAAATTTGGTTCTTTGTACAGTCATGGTTGTCTGTCAAGTGTTTGGCTTAAAGTTGATTATTTTATTACAAGCCACAGTTTGTGGCTTTGTGTGTTTTATTTGCATTGCTTTGCTTCTGGGTCCATCTCAGTGATGACAGATATTCAAATTAAATCCATTTCCTGTTGGCTAATGTGGTTTGAGAGTAAGTTGCACTCTTCCTACTAAACAACAAAATGCTGCATTTTCTGAAGGAAAGCCTTTAAAGTAAATCTCAAAGTGTTTTCCTAAATACATTTTTTATGTGATGTTTGATTCATCTTATAATGTTTTTTCTAAACTTTTTTTTTAAATAAAGCACAATATCTTAGAGAAAAAAACTCCACTTTTGCCAGTCTATACATATGTTTTTTTTTGGCACAGATTATTTTAAAAAGTGTTGATAATTAGGGGCTTTAAGTCCTCAAAAAAAAAAAAAAAAAAAAAAAAAAGAAGTAATTCAGAATTTTGAGGGGAATGGATTTCTGTTTTTCACAAATTACACCCAATTATTTGAAGTCTTCTCATAAATTCCAAATTGGATTTAGGTCAGGGCTTTGACTAGACCATCAATATTTTTGGTTTAAATCCTTTCATTGTACATGTAGGATAAATGCTCTGTTGGAAGGTAAAACTCAACACCAGTTCTCCAAGGATTATTCTGGATTTAGCTCCACCTATCTTCCATCAATTGTAGCAAGCTTCTCCCGTCCCTGTTGAAAAACAGCCTTACCACAGCATGATAGTCCCACTACCATGTTTCGAAGTGCTGTGTTGGGGTTGAAATGCAGCTTTAGTTTTCCGCCACACAAATATGTGCTACTCTGTGTTGGTCTATCACATAAAACCCTTATAAAAACATGTACTGTTGCTGTAAAGTACAGCACTGAGTACATAATCAAGATATAAATATATAAAATAGAGAAAAGCCCTGCAATTATAAACATGATTCAGTATTGCTGCAAAATCTGAAAACTTGTTTATTAAATGAGGCACCTTGCCCTGTTTACACTTAGATTTCTGCAGGTAATATAAGAAAAATAATTTGAATTTTAACTTTTCAGATCAAATAACTGGCTGTGGTGCAAGAAAATGTGCAAATATTTGAGACATTGTGGTTATTTGTTTATATACTTAGGGCACTGTTTTTAGCTTGTTCACCACCAAAGGCAATTATTACATACACTGATGGATGATTTTATGATGTTTGTGTCAGATAAAGATGGATTTATAGTCTGAAACAAAACAGAAGCTTATAAACATCTGAAAGTGAAATGCCTGCAAATGCATAACTATCTTAAGTTTCACTGCTACTGCATTATTTTGGGCGTGTTGGTATTATTTATTAATTTAATCAGTCGTCAGTTATCTTGCAAAGAGATAAAGGCTTTCTTTTGCTCACAGTCTCCCTTATGGGAGGAGTGCAGACTGCATAATTCACCGATGACACTGTTTACTCAATCTGTATGTAAAAAAGACCAGATTCACTGGAGAAAAAAGGTTTGGTGATCAGAAATGCAAGCGCATGACTTTAGCATGAGAATATACCTGACAGAATGCTGACATCTGCTGGTGACTGTTTCATTCAAGCCTTCATTCAAACTGGATTATCTTTTTATTTATTACAGTGATTTTTTTTCCATGTATGAATATTCTGTTGTTTTTTTAGTTTTTCTGAGCTACAAAGGCATTTACACAACGCCAGGCCTGTTTTGTGTTCCTGTCTTTAGTATCTGGTTTTTTCATTCTTTGTCAACTTTTTCCCCCGTGTTTACTGGTTTTTAAATCCCTATTTAGACTCCGCGAAATCTCAAGCCTGTTGGAATCCGACATGAAACGATGAAAATCATCTGAGAAGCTGCAGGCGGCTGACACTGAAATGATTCACCCTGAAACCATAATCCGCAGAGTCTCCCCTTCAGGACTTTCCAACATCCCCCATCTCTAAACACACAATCATTAGCATCACAGAGACATGGCAACAGGCACATTAAACTCTCAGGACAGAAACTAAATATGGAAATGCAGAGGACATGAGGGGCAGGCTCCGCCGGGTATCAGGGTGTGGTTCTGTTATTGTCGGCCTGGTTTGCCTCCTTCTACTCACAGAATCATCATCCAACACCAGTGTACCACTTTAAAAACCTCTCTCTGTTTTTCTTTGTTGTGGAAATCCCTTTGTCTCTGCCAGGTACGGCAAGTCAGCAATGAGTAATGCTTCTTTTCCTAAAATATGAAACGAAACAAACTGAAAATTGACAGATGTGTAAAAATAGTTTGATAACAGAGAAGTTTTGTCTCTGTTTCTGAGCACACTTGCACACAAACACACACAAACACACACACACACGTGCAACATGCGTACAGAGAAGCAGGTCCAATCAGGCACAAACATGCAGAATTACAGTTTATTAAGGAATGTGGGTGACACATTTCATTTGTTTTCTCAATCTTACTTTTTATTATTACTGCTTTATTTGTCACTGGTGTCATTTCCATGGTTCCCTCCAACCGCATGTTTGTTATTTTGTCACTTATAGTTGTTATGCACTTAGAAAATTAGACTCATGCTCTCCTAATGCAGCTCACGTAATAATTTTAGAGAGATAGAATTGATCATGTTTAGTGAATCTATTTTGTTGATATGGCACGAAGTTAACAAATGTCATGTCCAGGCATTTTACCGGTCAAACAAATCCAAATCAGACCCAGAAAGATTCAATTGCAGTTACATTTCTATTCAACATTAATTTAAAGTCAAATTCAGCAGGTTTATGTTGCAGATTACTGGGCTTGATAGTTAATTAAAGCCCAAAACTGAGCTTCTCAAAACATTTTAATGTCCCAATAGCTCATTGCACCAACTTTTCTTTGAATACTGTGAAGCCAGCTTCCATTTCTTCTTTCCTGAATGGTGCCAATATAACTGGTTTTTGTAGCTTGTTTTGCATATTTATCTGCCAACTCATTTCCTTTTATTCCTACATGTGGTGGTACCCATGTAAAAATAACAAAATAAACCCATTGCCTGAATTCCATAAATTAATAACTGAATCTCGAATAAAAGGTCTGGTCTACTAATTTTAATTAATATAATGATGAACTTGAATCACAACATATTATACTTCTTAATGGACGAACTTCCTCAATCCAAATGATTCCCATCATCTCTCCTGTATAAACTGATACTCCAGTGATTCTTTTAAATTTTTTAAATTTTTAAATTTTTAATTTTTAATACTGAATTCTGGAACAACGAATTAGTTTTTTGGAAGCAGTTGTGTAAACTTGGACAAATCCATAGTACTTATTGTCTTAATATGATTGTACTGAAAATGAATCTGAAAAGTTTTCTTTTTCCTTTTCTCCAACAAAGTAAAACCAACAACACTATTAGGAAATAGAGATGGATGAACTGTGTGACTGATATTTATATGAGATAAATCAACGTCTTTTATAATGTCTTCTATCGCCCAGCCAAAAGAATTTAAATTCTGTTTTCCCAACTAGGTTTTTAAATAAATGGCTTAATTACCTCCTCCTTGTGTAGATCAGTCCTGCTAATGACCTGATTATTCTATTCAGGTGTGGTGCAGCAGAGGCATATCTAAAATTTGCAGGACAGCAGGACTGGAGTTTGGCACAACTTGTCCTCAGATGAGTGTGTGTGCATGTTTGTCCTCTGTCTGTGTTGTTCTTGATGGGCTGGAGAACTTTCCAAGGTAAACTTTCCCAAGAACAGCTGGAGACAGATGGTGGCTGTATTATTAAGTATTTAATTTTTTTTAATGTTAATTTTAATGTTGATTTTTAAAAAATAAGAACTAAAAATATATATATATATTTATATATACATATATAGTTGATAAATATATTCTGATCATGCCTTATTAAAACTATATATATATATATATATATATATATATTATATATATATATATAGTTTTACTAATTGGTTTACGTTAGTTGTCGCAATTTAGCTGCGATACTTAAAAAAAAAAAAAAAAAAAAAAAAAAAGTGCCAAGAAAGGTGAAGTGCATATTTCTGTACTTAATCATGTTGAGATCAGGATTTTCTTTCTCTCGGACTGAAACGCTCACATCCTGTCCACTTGTTGTGCGTCGTGACAAGCAAACACCGCGCTGCTCAGAAAAGGTGTGTCACCGGCGTGACGTCACGTCTACTACCTGAGTTTCGGTGAGGAGGAGGAGGAGGTGAAGGGGTTTGAGGGCCGAGCCGAGTGAGGGAAACTAAACACGCATATCGGCTCCTCGGCGGGTTTGGGGCGGATAAACTTTGATGTAGCAAAACGTTTTTGTTTTTCGTCGGCCTGCCTCGTCTGAGTCGCCTTTACGTGGAGTGGGTCTGTGGGTCTGTGGGAGTTTGGACCCGCGCACGGGAAACGCACCGCTCTCTTCCCAGCTGCCCAACAAGGAAGGCTTACTCCTACTTCCTGCTTCAGCACAGGTGAGTTTTTGGATTTTATTTTTGTTTGTCGTTTATACAATTTGACGTTTTTACTTGCTATCAGTTTTCCTGCCGCGTTATTACTGCTCGTTTAAAGACTCGTAAATGTCTTGGAAGTAAATGAGTTGCACGGTGGTAACAACTTGAAGGCCTCCCTGTCGGTCAGAGGGAAGAAGCCAGGCAGTTTCCAAACGTTTGGAAAATCCGGATTTGCAGGATTTGTGTTGCATTGTTTTAGTGGATTGGCAGTTTAGAAAATTGCGCTCGTAGCAGGCCGGACTGGCCGGTTTACAGCCAACTGTGTGTTCTTTAAATGGCTTTAATTATTTGTATCCTGTATTTAGTCGGCCAGGATGGCGGTCACCCCTCGACGCGTCCGCCTCAAGCCGTGGCTCGTGGCCCAGGTGGACAGCGCTCGGTACCCGGGTCTGGTTTGGGTCAACCGGGAGACCATGCGCTTCAGGATCCCCTGGAAACACGCCACGAGACACACACCCCAGCACGAGGACGAGGACACCATATTTAAGGTAGATATTTATTTGGCTTGAATTGTCTCGGCTGAAGGAAAATCAGTTTGAAATTGGAGGATTTTCGTCTTGGAACCAACAACTTTATATTCTGATCATGCTTTTTTTAAAAATTTATTTAAATTGTATTTTTGCTTGTTTGCTAATCAAGATTATGCTAGTTTTTATTTTTAATTATTTTTCATTTTAAAAGTTATAGTTTCAGGCAAATTAGTTTGTAGTTTGGCTGCCCCTCCCCCACCTGCTGCTGTGACTGCCAGTCTGCTGGCTGCAGGGAAGTTCCTGGCAATTTCACTCCGTTATAAACACAAATTCGAGTATCTGGAAATGTTTTAGTTTGGAAACCGTGAACTAAAGGAGCTTCTCTCATTGCTTACAGTAGCAGCAGTGGGGAAGCAGGACAGGTCATTTAAAGGTCTGCCTCGACCTCATACACAAATGAGTTGCATTTTACAGAAATGATGAGCTTTGAGTGTTTTTATATATATATGATTGATTCTGTCAATTTATGCTTTGGATGTTGTACCAGCTTTTATGTCATATGTATCACAACAAGTTAATAAAATTCTCAGTGTTCTACTTTTCTCGCTGTCTGCCGCTCTATTTATCAAAAAGCTTAAGCATTTGTACAATAAAGATGTGAGAACTTCAGCAGATTCAATAATTTTCACTATAAAAACAGCAACAAGCCTATTTAAATGAAAGCATTTTCTGTGAATACACTGAAGCTGTTTTTCTGAACGTTATTACCTGATGCAGGTTCATGAATAAAACCAGTGACTTAAATTAAATGCATCTCAAACAATCAATTGTTAGACTGCATCAAATAATCAGTTGCTTTGATGCTACCAAATATGTAAAGTATTTTTAAAAGCATATTTATAAAAGTGATCAGACATGATTTTTATGTCTGATCATACAGATTTTTATTGCTTTATTCAACGGACTCGTGATGCATGGCTTATAAAAAAAATAAAAAATTTTAGATTTAAAATATCATTTTTATAACTTAATGCAGAGGGGGAGGTCTCTACTTTAGTTGAAACAACTTTTCCAACGCTTGTATTTTTAAGCGGAAACATTTCTGTTCCATGTCTTGTGCTTTTTGCACTTACTGTGATCAATGCCAATCGGTGATCGTTAACGCATAATGAAACATTCTGCAACATTTAAAAATGCACATGGCGCAGCGTAATTGATCTCGTTTCTAACTGCTTCATCCAGGCGTGGGCTGTGGAGACCGGGAAGTTTCAGGAGGGAGTTGATGAACCTGATCCTGCTAAGTGGAAAGCCCAGCTTCGCTGCGCCCTGAACAAAAGCCGGGAATTCAAACTCGTCTATGACGGCACCAAGGAAGTCCCCATGAATCCCTTGAAGGTATATGATGTCTGCGACATCCCACAACCCAACAGTAACCAAAGTAAGTACAAAGTTCTTCAGATGTTTGAGATTTTTATTGTTTTCCATCTTTCAATGCTTTTTTTTCTTTTCCTGAAAGCTCCTTCAGATGCAGGTTCACATACTCCTTATGATGATTTTGGAGAGGATCCCGACACACCAGACTCTCTTCCTCCATATCCGTCAAATGGTGATTGTTTACACCCTTATATTGGTACAAATATGTGGAGGAATTGATGGAAAATAATTCCCCTTTCCTCTTTTAGGCACCAGTCCTTCTCCACACCTTATGTGGTCTCCAATGGGCTCCGATTCTTCCGTCCAGCCTCCCAGCTGTCCACCTTCGAACGAGGTCTGGCCCAAAGAGGAGCCGGGCAAAAACTGGCCAAAAGAGGAGCCCGCAGATATCGAGATGCCCCCCTCAAACCTGGATGAACTGCCCCCTGCCCCTCTGCCCGACCCCATCCTGCAGCCTGCTCCTCTTTCTGACATCTTCTTTGCCTCTCCAGAAACGTGGATCAGCTCCCTCCCAAGTTAGTGTGAACAACTCTTTGTCTGCCTGCAAGGTTTTCTGATTTTTACTATCACAATTTAATAATTTGCTTATCTTAAAAAAAAAACCCCACATTGATCACACGGTCATTAATTAACTTGCTAAAGACCCAGTTTCCAGACCTTTGGGAAATCAGCTGTTAAATATGGAGAGTTGCATCTGTGCTTTTACTGTCTGCTTTTGTATTTTGATAAATCTGGAACTGCAGCCTCAGGGTATGCAGTTGCACTTCGCCATGCAGAAGTGACTAAGCTTGTAAAAACCTGTTGAAGTGTTTTATCATTCAAAACACTCCTGAGGAGCAAGGTTTTTCTTGATCTCCACTAAGATCCCTTTGATGAATGCAGACCACATGCAAGATGGAGATAAGAACTCCTGCAACCCCCCTTAAAAAAACAACTTTTTATTGCACTTCAGTATTTCAAATCATGAAGTAGGTTTTAGTATCAGAAAAATACCCAGAGTAAAAGCAAATGGTGTTTTCAAGCCAAAATTATCCTGATCTATAAAACTTTTGGGAAAATATACGATGAACTGAAGAGACAAAAGTATTTTTGGAAGTTGTGCATCATATCTGGGGTTAAATCAGCGCAGTGCTCCAGAAAAGTGACGATTTGATTTGGAACTACTTTGTTTAGGACCTGGTTGACTAGTCATAGTTCATGGAAGCATAACTTATGTATCAGAAAATCCTTAAGAGATTACCCAGTTCATATGTTTTTATTTAGCTTAGCTATGCTAAGACTAGTCAAACAAAACGTAGAACACACCAGCAAGCTAATCTCTACCATAGCTAAATAAAAACTAAAGATTGAGTTTCATTGTCAAAGTATATTCTTTAATCAAACTGGTCAACATGCTCAATAACACATTTAAGTTTGACTAAAAGGAAAAAACTAATTTGTTTCAAAGCAAATATATTTTTTTCCTCCAAGCACTGTAAATCTAGTTGATCCCAGAGGCTGAAGCTAATGCACAGTCTGAGAAACCAAAGAGGATCTTTGCAATATTAAAACATCTCCAGTTTAAAAATCTTGTTCTTGGTTAAGACAGAAGTTATTGAATATTTTAAAGAGAATGACCAGTTTTATATGATCAACTTCTTTTAGCTTTGTCATAATCTCATCATAAGCATACCTGGAGTGTTGCTTTGAGTCTTTCAGGTGCAAAACCACTTGAACAAGTTGAAGCTTTTTTTTTTTTAAACAAATGGTTTTGACCTGTTCCCACTCCTCCCCCTGTCAGCTCCTCCAGACTAGTGGTAGCCATTCATAAACATGTGGTGGAATTGCAGATCTGAGTTCATCATTCAAACTTAGTCCAGTGTTAAAGGATGTAAATGACACGAGGAGCATTGTTGTGATAACGTGCTGAATGCAGTGAGTCAGGAAGAACAAGACCTTCTTAAAGAGACGGCAGCCCAGTAAACTGCAAAGTCGATTTTCTTTTGTCATTTTTGATGCAGCATTTTTATAACAGAAGTAGTAGTTATATCAGAAATCTGTGCTTCAGAGTGTAAGATCTCTAATTTTCTGCCTGTTGTCTGACCCAGTGACAGACTTGGAGGTGCAGTTCCTGTACAGAGGAAAGGAGGTGTGTCCTACCATGACTGTGAGTAACCCGCAGGGTTGCAGGCTGTTCTACGGGGACCTGGGGCCCATGGTCAACCAGGAGGAGCTGTTCGGACCCGTGAACCTGGCACAGCTGCGCTTCCCGAACACAGAGCACATCACCAACGACAAGCAGAGGATCTTCACCAATCGGCTGCTGGATGTGATGGACCGAGGTCTGATCCTGGAGATCAGGGGCCACGATATTTATGCAATCCGCCTCTGCCAGTGCAAGGTGTACTGGTCGGGCCCCTGTGCTCCAAACCCAGCTGCGCCAAATCCGATCGAGCGGCAGAAGAAGGTCAAGCTCTTTTGTCTGGAGTCATTTCTCAGCGGCAAGTATCTTTACCAAAGTAACGCATTTAAAATGTTGATGTAGACCTGGGGTTGTCATTTGAACTTTTCTAAAGTTTAATACAATATATTTACCATTAGAGGACAAATATCAATGTGTGTCTCTTGCCTCCACAACCTATAGCTGCAATGATGAACAGTGGTAACAGATATACAGCCTAAAATATGTTGAATTTAAGTTTTGGACAAACTTTATTTCCTGTTTCTTTGTCTAATAGTTGGATTGATCGGTTTGTCAATCCATTAATTAACCAGCATCCATCATTCCATGATTTGTCCTTCTGCAAATCATCCATCTGTACATCAGTTCATCTTATTGTTGTCTGTCCATGATTTCTATGATTTGTCAATTTTCCATAGTGAAATAAATATAAAGAACTCTAAAAATGGTAGCGTGTGTAGGAACTCTGTGACGATGAGGTGTTAGAGTGACATCATAACTATAGCTTTGCTTCATTTCTTTTTTTTTTTTTGATGTGCAGGTGTTGTAGCGCAGCAGCGTGGCCAGGCGACCAGCCCTCCTCAGTTTGAGATCAGCCTCTGCTTCGGAGAGGAATGGCCCGATGGGCGACCCAAAGAGCGAAAACTCATCATGGTCCAGGTCAGAAAGGCAGGAATTTAACTTAAATTCCTGTATTTAAGTTGAATAAATAACTTGGATACAGTTATACATCAGCAACCTTTAATCTGTCATGGGAGATTAAAGGATTTCTCAAACGTGCATGAAAGAATCAAGGCAACACGCCAGGTGTGTTTTTTGATGGAGGAACTATGATGTAATGACAACATGTGGTATAACTTCTATTTAATTTTTTAAACAAACATTCAGAAACTACAATCACACCACGCTGTTTTGATTTCATAAAAATGCAGTAACTCACTTCTCCTCCAGCCTCTGCTGTTCATGACGAGGCTGCTGTTTATTCTGGATTACCAGCAGATCTTGTTTTTTCATGCTTGATTTGTTTAAAAGGGCAGATCTTTAATCTGAGAATAACATGAAACGCATTATGTAAAATCAACTTTTTTTTTTTTTTAGCTTTGTCATGTTATTCCTTCACATCTGGAGTGTTGCTTTGAGTCTTCCAGGCACATTTGACCAATCCTTTAATCTCCATTGCCAGCCATTTGGGGCGCCTAAACGCTTGCGAGCCTGCTGGGCTCCTCATAAAATACTACTTTAAGGAATCCAGTGGTCTTAATAAAGGTTGATTTGATGATGGGGTGAAGGTGAAGTGTCAGAGTAGGCGCTGCTTAAAAAAACGGAGGCCGATTTCAACGCGTCACACTGCAAAGTTTTGCAGCATTTTTATAACGGTTGCAAATAAATAGCACCATGTACCTGGAATACACTTAATACCATTCTACTTTCAAAAGAGAAATGCATCCAGAGCATCATAGTTACCAGGCCACATATCTCTTTTGTTTTACATCACTCACCTGAGTGACGGTCCTAGTTTCATCTCAAAGTTCAGCTTTGTTTTTGATAGAAAACTAAATTTTTTCTGGTCTGCCTTCCTGACATGCTCCAAGTAATCGGCTCCTAAAGGTTATGGAGAATTGCTAATTTCACTTGATGTGATGGTTCCTCTCTGACGAGGATCTGTGGCTTCAAGGCGGCGCTGAATGGTTGCTGTGGGAGATTAAAGGATTTCTCAAACATGCATGAAAAAATCAAGGCAACACGCCAGGTGTGTTTTTGATGGAGGGACTTTAACATGATGTAAAGCTCAGTTATTACATAATACTGGCCCTTTTAAAATGTTCTCACTGCAGATTAGTTTTAAAAAGTGTAGAATAAAACAAGTGGAGATGAATGTAAGGGTAAATGAGTCTTTGATCGTGCAGACTGGAATCATTTAGAGGTCGGCATCCTCTGCTTTCGTCTCACTCTTGTTCCTCACCCTTTCAGGTCATTCCTGTGGTGGCTCGGATGATAAGCGAGATGTTTTCCGGAGACAACAACCTGTCATTTGACAGCAGCAGCGTGCGCCTGCAGATTTCAATCCCGGATATAAAGGACAATATCGTGAGCCACCTGAAGGAGCTGTACAGCCTGCTGCAGAACCACCAGGGCCAAGAGGGGTGGGCTCTGCCCCCCAACTCAGGCCTGAACATTGCCCAGGCTCTGCAGACTCAGTGAAGCTGTGAACCAACAGTTTGATACAAATCATCAATATTATCCACCACTGCAGGGCTTTAGGAAACAAGTACTTGTATGTAATCCTGATTAGAAGTGTGCACAATATACTTTTTGTGCCGTTCAGCTTTTTCTTGTAAAACTGCGCGACGTGGTTGTGCATTAGTCTGTGCAGACGCTGCAGATAGTTGGTGGTTCTGCAGGCCAAAGTCCGCCTCACTGCAGAGGAATATTTATCGTAGTTAATCAGTTACAGATATTGTTCTGAGTTATCTCTGTCTATATCCAGTTTGATTGTCCGACAAAACGAGAGGCTTATGAAACTGGTCATGTTTTTTCTGTAATTTTTTTTTTACACTTTTTTTTAATAGAAAAAATGCATCCAGCAAGAGATTTCTGTTTTTTGGAAAATAAAAATGTAGATAAATGTGAATGAAAGTAGGGATGGATATGGATTCTTCTACAGTGCACATAAGAATACGTGGTCTACATATGGTTCCCCTCTTTATTGTCCTTTTGAATTAAGGGAGAACATTTTCTCATGGGAATGTTTGAGTTCGACCAGCTGCTTCTCTTCTGGCGTCTTTAAAAAAAAAAAAAAAAAAAAAATTTCCATATGAAATGTTGAATATTTTTGTACACATTTTAGCGACAGATTGTATTGAAGCAATCTGTCGCTAAACCCGACAACATTCATATGAATTTGTCCTTCTCTTTGCACTTTGGGGTGCTGAAATGTTTTATGATCTTCTGAATCTATTTACCTTATGATTACATGTTTTATCAATAAAGATACTGTTGAACACATTTTTCTGATTACTGTATCACTTTTGATTGGGCTCAAACGATGACACATGCACAGTGGAAAACAAATTAGACTTTAACCACGATTTACTTTTATTGTCTGTGTGGAGAGCTGCTCTTGCATGAGTTTGTGCTGCATCTGACTGGCTGGTGATCCAGAAGGTAAACGAACGTCGAAGCCTGAATGTGTGCTGATGTAACGCAGCTGGCAGTGCGAGTTTCAGCCCAACATGATGTAATGTGTTTGAGCCTGGAGGCAACACCAGAGCTGAAACCAAACTCAGGCGTTCATTAGCGGTGGTAATTTTTACTTTGTGTACATTTTGCTGATTGTTTTATAGCTTTATTCCTTTTTACAGCAGATCTTTAAATTCAGTCTCTCTGAAGGGAGATTCCTGCCTCAATGGTATCTAGTTTTTCTAAAAATAAACCCTGACAGGACAAAGTTCACTCAAGTATTTTCTGTTTTGAGAGAAGAAAAATGTAATTGGTTGCACAATAACTTTAAGACTGATTTGGGAGTTTGGCTCTTTCCTTTTGCAGATTTAAATTTGACGATTGTCTCTTCAAAAGCAAAGTTTTAAATAAATTTTATTTAAAATGTTTTTAGTACATTTTAAAAAGCATGTCTGCTTTTTATTGTAAATTATAATTAAAATTTTCATTAAAATACATTTTAACTTAATTTGTCTGGGCTGTAGTAGTCCATATAAATAAATTTTAAATACATTTAGATGCTCCATAAACCGCATCATGTTGGAACATGTTAAGTTCTTGTACCCGCCTCTAGAGTCAAAGCCCAACTCCTGAAAAACATCATCTGAATTTTAACTGCTTGATACAATGGAGTCCACCCACTGTCTTGATAACTTTTATCACATGAAAAACTCAAACTTCACAGCGTGAGATATTGTTTTTTTTAACCGAATCCACCTTTAAACCTTTAAAAATCATTTCATTTATGACAAGTAAAGGCTACAAATCGTAAAGTAGTGACAGACCTGAAGATGATTTACATAAATTATAAATGAACTGTGATTAACCAGAATGAAGAATAAAGACATTTTTACAGAGAACCTTTCTGACAACATGAAGTAGGCTAATACATCTCAGATGTCCTGATTGACATGAGAAACAGAGACACTAACAGGCTGGAAGTGACTAGAAAACTATTGAGACGTCTGGAAATCACAGGAGTCTCAATAGAAACATTTAATACGTGATATGAATGACATTAACATCAATGCATAATAAATTAAAATGCATTTGATGAAGTCAAACATTTAGGACTGAATAGTTCTTCCCAGGATTGTCATCCACAGTATTTATGCTGAATAGATGAGCAAAACCACAGAGATGAAATGTTGGGAATCATTTTTCCCTTATAGGGAATTTCTCCAGGATCTCTTAACCTTTGTGAAGCCACACCAAAGCGCCCTCCCTCACCTGAGACGAGTCGCCGTTGCAAGCATCGTTTTGCTACTGGCAGCGGACTTTGTCCTCCTCCTTCATAAGGAAGCTCTGGTTTCACGCCGTCGAAGCGAAGGATTAAAATATGAAGTGAAGGTGGATGCTGCTGCTAAACCGCTGTGAATAACACAGGAGGAAATCACCAGGACTCAGCAGCACAACGAGAAAGGTATGACGACTGATTGCGACGTCAGGATTGAGTGAACAGTTCCTTTTGTCTGAAAAGTGCGGAGACAACCTGGCAATATGAATGCTTCTCTAATTTGTTCCCACTAGGGTTAACATTTCATAAACTCAATGAGCAAAATGTTCTTTAAACACCAAAGTTGTCTGTGTGTAAAATGTTTTCAGGTAATTGGGAACCATAGTTGTAGTTTTGAAAATTAGTCAGTATTGGAAACCTCTTATCATTGCTTGGTTGATCATTGCTAAATGTCGCCAGGTAATGATGAGCAAAACACCTTTCACTTGAATTTTGGGTTTTAAACTAAGTTTCTGAGCCCAAACAGAACAAACTGTGATGTTTCCTGCCGTTAGTCGGTGTTGCGTAATGAAAGCTCTCGGGAGGATGACTTTATGGGTTTATTTCAGTTTGCCTCTGAGCCAGCAAACACTTGTGACGTCTACAGTTTGGTGTCCATGTTGTGTGTGATCCGGCAGGTGTGTCGGGACAGGATGTTCAGGAGCAACAGTCCATACGGTTCTGAGGCCAGCAGCTACATTTCCTTCCAGTCCAAGTACGTATTTTGTGATGTAATTTCCTGATGTTCGGCTGGCCTCGGCTTCCCCCCCCAGTCACCTCCGGTGTTTCCCTTTGACCCAGTGGATTCTCCAACATGGATGATTCCGCCTCCCAGATATCGAACATCTCGAGACCCAGTGCAAAGTCGATTTACCGTGAGTGATCAAATCGATCAAATCAAATCATTGATGAATCATCACTCATCGTTCTGCTCCGTGGCCCAACAGTGCAGCGGCTGCAGTACGCAGCATCAGTGAACAAGATGATGGAAAGATCAGAGCACAGAGTGGAGGTATCACCACAGCGACTCTTAAGGTCGCACATCTTTGAGTCGGTGGCCTTGATGATTCATCAGACGTTCATCTGTTCCAGCACTTGTTTACTTGCGACCTAAACGGGAAGGATCTCAGAAACATCCAGGACTGCGTGGACCGCCTGAAGGTTCTGGATCAGACGGGTCGTATTTGGGGTCAGAACATGGTGCTGGAGGTTCGCGGTGCCAACCTGATCCTCATAGACTATGAGACCAAGGTGAGCCACGGCCCAGAGAGGTGAGAGCGATCCTCTGAGTTCTGTTAGAACCATGAAGTTTTAAACATAAAGAACAATGAAATCTAAAATATTCAGCTCACACGCCGAGGAACTTCTCACATTTACCTGAGTGACTTTTTGGAAAAAATGGAACAGTTTTACTGCACTGTATGCTTTACTTTTATTTGAGGAAAAATCCAAAAGTATGCTCCAGTATGTGGGCTCTCAGCCAAAATCTTCTTTGCATCATGTTGTGGTTTCAGCTGCTCTAACATCACTTTCCTGTCTATTGTCAGGAAGAGATGGAGTCCTTTTCTCCTCATGAAATGAAGGAGTTGTTTGCCTTTCTGGACGTCGGGCCGTTCGACTCTCTGCTCATCCTGTCCGTCCAGAACAGGAGAAAACCCGCCACCACCGTCTTCCTGTTCCAGTGCAATGAAGTCAGGGTGAGACGCAAGCTTTGGAAGGAGGGTCTGCGAGGAGAAAGACGAAAGATATGAATGTTTTCTGTTGTGTCCCAGGCTGATTTCATCGCAAAGGATTTAGTGCGAGCTCTGTCGCAGAAGAGTGAGGGTTCACAACTCAGGTAGGAACAAATCCTGGTACAGGTGGATGGGTTAGTTTATTTTGTTTACTCATAATGTGTGTGTGTGTGTGTGTGTGTGTGTGTGTGTGTGTGTGTGTGTGTGTGTGTGTGTGTGTGTGTGTGTGTGTGTGTTATGAGCAGCAATGGACACACTGTGGGTGGACATGAAAGAGTGAGACAGCCCAAGAAGCCTGTGGAGCCGAGGCCTGAACATGAAGCGCCACCATGGACTCCGCCTGACAACAGTGAGGCCAGATTTAAGAAACACTGCTTTAATGTAAAATTGGTGACATCAACGAAGAAATGCAATCCATCATTAACAAAATAGATGTATTCTGGATTTTTAAAAAAAAAATCAATAGGAATATTAGAGCTTTCCGTTCAGGAAGGTCAGGAAGGTTCTGACCAGGAAAACTTGATGAAAAAGATGTTTTGGAGAACAATGTTGTCTTTTCAGTCTTTGCGATCTTATAAACAAACATCCAGTAATAGTTATGAAAAGTGGACAAAGCAGCATTTGTTTCTCCAAATCTGTTATTTGTTGCTGTTTCTTCGTCCAGCTGAGGATGATTTCTCTGAGCCTGAACTGGACCTGCGTCGGCACCGGGAGGAAGACGACGTCCCGCCGCCGATGCCGTCCCCGTCGCCTCCCCCCCGACCGTACACAGAGCTGGACAGGGACGTTGTGAGTTTCCTCTGCTTGAGGCAGCAACAGGTTTTCAGACCTTTAAAATTGGAAAGACTGAAACGTAAAGGAAACATTGTGAGTGAGACTTTCGGTTTCCTTCCCGTGCAGGACATTTTAAACCACATCATAACCGACGTCGAGATCTTCATGGGGAAAATATCCGCAGCCGAGGCCAAAAACGGAAAGAAGAAAAAGAAAAAGAAAAAAGGAAAAGGTAGTTTTCAGTGGAACCTCTCAGACGAACACGGGTTCTCATGTGTCCCTGCGTCACTGTGTGGCTTTTGGTCCATGTAGGAGGGAACGACGGGATGCCGCCTGAGGAGGAGTTTTCAGATTGCCTCCATAAAATCAAATCTGGCTTCAACCTTCTGGTGTGTGTCTTCATTTACACGCCGTGTCGTGACGTGTGTGTCCTCTTCGTGCTCTAACAGCTCTCCCTTGTTCCACAGGGAGAGCTCAACGGAAAGATCAACAATCCAGCCGCTCCTGACTTTGTCCACTCTTTGTTCTCTGCATTAGCATTCGTGAGTGACTTCTGATTTCTAGACTTCTTCTGTTTGACGTCATCTGTCTCAGTTCTGCTGCTCTTTCTTCACCAGGTGTGCTCTCACTGCTCTGAAGCCGTCCCTCCGTCCATCATCGCCCCGCTGCTCACGCCTCAGTGTATCCGTCTCCTGAGTGAGGAGGCGTCCTCGGAGGAGGACAACCTGTGGCAGTCCCTGGGAGACGCCTGGAACATCCCCAGGTTCCCGCTGCACCCAGAACAATACCAGCCTCTGATTGGCATTCATGAGGAATAACTCTGTAACTGGGTTGTTGTTATTGCTGCTGTTACAGAATCAATCCAAATGAGACTGATCCAATAATATCAATACTCATATATGGTTGAAATGTCATTTCCAGAGGGTTCTGTCATTCTTTAATAGGAATATAAAAGGTGAACAGATTTCTCTTTCAGTCATCATGACGCAGCAGGACACAGTGAATTTCACCCTGTTTGTCTCCATCACTCATGAATTTGTCGCAGTAGGAGCGAAGTTATATTTTTTAACGACTCAGACCAGCCAGGCGTTTTGCAGAACTGTGAACCTTAAGGAAACATGGGAGGTTTTGAGGAACATCAAGTTTTGCACTTTTTAAGAAAGTTCCTAACTTTTAATACGCTGAAAATGTAATTAATGTGTAACAGGATGAGTTGGTGTGTAGTTCACAGTGTCCTGCTGCATCTGGACAGGATGCGATACTTTTCCATCTCCTTTCATTTTTTCCAATTGTTATTTTTATTTCGCATGCTTCAATTATCCCAAGTGGTTAAATGTTAATTATCTGAGTTATTTAGACCTCGTGTGCCAAACTCGAGGCGCGCAGACCAAATCCGGACCGCCAAAACTATTCCTGTGGTCCTGTTTGCTCTTAAGAGCCACAGAAATATGACTTCAAGATAACAGTTTTGTGCTTAAATATTATTTTATTAGTCAAATCAAATCAAGTTTTATGGAGATGGAGCCAAACTATTTCAATGTTAAATATTACATTTTTAGAAGTACTCACTGAATGCATAGAAAGTTCTAATATTTTAGTTGTTAATTACTTCTATTAATACATTCTGCCTAAATCGGTCCTTTGAGGAGTTTGGCAATAATGATCTAGACTAAAACACATCCCTTACATTTTGCTTTAACTTTTAACCATCCCAACTTTCAATGTTTTTACTGTATAGTTACAGGATATTATTATAATCGGATCATAGCTGTGGCAGTTCTTGTGCTGCAGTTCTCTTCTGATCAAATTGTCTCGTTAGCATCAGCTCACTGTGGCCCTCTGTCTGCCAACGTCACTGAAACAAAATGTAGAGAAACGTCCCAGCATGAAAGTCAAGACTCTTATGACCACTGCTCTATATTTATATCCACTTCATGACTCAGTTTACCTGACGGGATGAAATGTTTCTGATGGTATCGCCAGCACCAAATGGCCAGAGGAGGATGAGGACATCCCCGTCTACAACATGCAGTTCTTTGATGGCTGGCAGCCCCCAGAAGTGACTGGAGAGCTTCCAGCCAGTGAACAGGAGAACCGGTGGGAGAATCCTCGGCCTCCACCGAGCCGGCAGCCGCCACCGAGCCGGCAGCCGCCACCGAGCCGGCAGCCTCCACCGAGCCGGCAGCCGCCACCAAACACAGCTGGACACAAAACACAGCAGGAGCCGGTCAGCTGGACTTTTAGTCAATGATTCTTCGTCCCGCTCAAGATAGAAAAATAACTTATTGTTGGCATTTTCAGAGTTATGCCAAGTGGAAGCCACCAAAAGAACAACAAAAACCACGGTAAGTGCACAGATTACGCTTCGTCGAGGTTTAAATCTCACTGCTCTGAGGTTTTCCTTCTTTCTGCGTCTTCCAGGCCAGTCGAGGTAAAACTACGCGACATGCGTGTCAAATACGACTTCGTGTCCAGAAACCAGAGGGAGCTCACCGTCACTAAAGGAGAAACAGTTGATGTGAGTATCTGCTGTCCTCGCTCCCAATATAACATTTTCAATAGGAGACCAACCAGTCTTCCGTCTCTTCTTCTGGTTTTGTCCTCCTGCAGCTTCTGGACAAGTCGAAGCAGTGGTGGAAAGTGAGGAACAACAGAGGAGAGGAAGGTTACGTACCAAACAACGTCCTGGAAGATGTTGACGTTCAGTCTTATGAGGTTGGCTTCCGCTCAGAAAACATGAAACGATGGGAAATGAAAACCGTCCTCACACAAAGAAAACATGCCTGTTCTGTTTCTGTGTAGGATTTTGACACGTCTCCAGTTCTGACGAGGAAATCTAAACCCCCGGAGGTGAAAGCCTGGCTGGAGCACATGGGATTCAACCCCATGTAAGACAAATCTCTCATATCCATCAGCAGATTTTCTGCCTCTGCTGAAGAAAAGCATCCCTCAGCATGATGCTGCCACCTCCAGGTTTTACGGTGAAAATAGTGTATTCAGATGCGGCATTTAAATATTTGCTTCCCAATTTTGGTCTCATGCACCCAGAGCGGCTTTTTCCAAATGTTTGCTGTGTTCCCAACATGGCTTGTGTCAAATCCACAGGGGGCTTTTTTGTGCCGAGTTTGTGGTGGCGACATGAAGAATATTAATGAAAAGTTTTGTAAATTAGCAACTGAAATGCTTCATATGTTCAATTTAAAAAAAAAGCACTCTGCTGGTTTCCTACAGTTTCTCTCACGAACCCTCTCTCCTCATGGAGGTTTATGGTTTGGCTCTGATACTCTTAACTAACTTCAGCGTTGCTTTGATGCAGCACCGTGCGCTGCCTGGGCGTCCTGAGCGGCTCCATGCTGCTGGGGATGAGCAGAGAGGAGCTGAAGTCGGTGTGTCCAGAGGAAGGAGGACGAGTCTTCTTCCAACTACAGGCGGTCAGATCCGCCTTGGCAGTAAGTCTCTCGTCCGTTCGACTGAAGATTTAGCCTCTGCCGTCTTTACTGCTGCTATGAGCGCTAACAACCATTCTTTTTTTAAACACCCAGGATGCAAGCTGAAGAATCATCACAGCTGGAAAGTAAGAGGAAAACTGACAGATACTGGAAGCAAATTAGAGACAAAATGCAGAATATAGCAGATTTGCATCAACATGTAAAGACACTGTAGTCACTTTCTGAAATCAGCACTAACTCCTCATATTGTTCTAAATGCTAAGCATGTTAAATATGCCGTTTACCCCAACTATTTTAAGTTGTAATCTCTATTAAAACATTATGTTATAAACTGGATTACTGCAAATAATTGCTGAAGTGTTTTGTTTGTAATCATTGTGTAACTTGCAAATTAAAGTAAAAATCTGGCACATCTGAGGTGAGTTAACATGCTTTATTTATTTTTAATTGAGTCATCACAGATGAACCTCCTCAGTAAGGTTGTGGCAGGTCATCTCGAGCAATAATAAGGCTACAGATCAACAGGAGTCAAATTAGGCAGAATTTAAAACAAAGTGACAGTTATGAGAAAACAAGACCGTCGGGAAAAATACAATTTAGACAAAACAAAAACATATCAAGGCAGCAAGCAGCAAAAAAAAAAGCTAAATGATGAAGGTTTTAACATGGATAATAACTGGACATTGTCTCTTTGTGCTTCACATGAATCACAGTGTTGAGGAGATTACATATCATGAAGCTTTACTCTCCACTTACAGGGGCAAATATATCACTATTAATAATATCTCAACAATTGTGGAAACCTGCATTTGGCCAGTGGTTGGGCGCAGCCAGTTATACCAGCCGTTCTGACCCAATTCAATCCAAGACCAAAATATTCTTTTAGTTTTTCATCCTGTGGACAAAATCGGCTACCAATAAAAGCACAAATATAAGGTTTGTGTTAGTGAGGTAGTATGGACAGGATGCAGACAGTAAACAGGGTCAGAGATCAATGGCTGGAAACTAAAAATGGAAACAGTCGGGTCGGTCCGGGTTGCAGCACCGGCCGCATTTATTGGCACCCCTGATGACTCCTATAAAAATCTCTTTAAAATAAATGTAAATAAGGCATTTGTTTGATTTATACTTTCAAAGTTTCTATGAATATGAATTTGTAATCTCTGACTTTATTTCCCTGAATCCTATCTATGACTTGACACAAAGCTTCATTTCTCTCTATGATGGATCAGAACCGGCATTGATCCGGTTATGAAGCTCCAAAAACGCTCCACAGTTTACTGAGGGAGAACTGCAGCAACGAGTTGCACCAAGGCTCACCCATTAGACAGCATTTCATGCTAACTGATTATTTAACAGAAAAAAAAAACGTAAACATGTTGAGCTGGGACTTCATCCGGACACTTGGTCAAGACTTCAGCAACCAATGCAACAGTTGGGTGCAACAAGGAAATAGTACATGATGAAGCACTGTTCAGTTTGGTGGAGGATCTGTGATGCTGTGGGCCTGTTTCTCAATACTTCATTCACTATTTGCTCTTAAAATATCAGGAAATCTCAAATAAGAATCTGGTGGATGCTACCATAAGGGTGATCATCGGTTGTTTCTGCAGGATAATGATTCCCGCAGATGGTTAACCGGATATAAAATCATGCTTCTGGAGTAAAATCATAAAGAAAACCTTTGGAAAGGAAAAAAAATAGGGCTTAAACTATTCTATTTAAAAGCAATGGTCAAACGTCCCTCTCTCTGTCCACCAGATTGGTAAGTTGTTACAAAGCGACCATGATGACAAGAGGAGATGCAGTAAAACCTGAGTTCTCCCCCCAATTTATAAATGCATTAAAATCAAATGTTTATTTTTTAGGATCAGATCCTCCAATAAAATATGAACTAGTCCTTACACATCCTTACCGGAGGTGTCAATAAATATGGCCGACTCTGAACATGAACAAAATTCACTCCTAATTTTAAAAGGCAAACAAAATTTTCACAAAGTATAAAACTCAATGATTAAACATCAAAACTTTGAGTGAAAGGCAGAAATGCACAACAAAAAACAAATATTCGATCCAAACAGTGTCAGGAATACTTAACTCGGCTAATCTTATGCATAATTATATTCGTGCTTTGGTGTCTTACTGGCTACTTTATAGAGGCGACACCATTCATTAGCATTAAAACACAACATGTATATATTGGTGGATAATTTGCTTTCACATGACTAAACAAACAGAGTGGGCACTAAAATACTGTTTCATTACTTAGTATTAAAAACAAACATAATGAAAATCTAGTTTTCTTCCACCTCAATATACTGAGAATTACAAAACGGTCTTACTTCTATTTCAGCTTTAAAAAACATGATTGAACTCTAACAATCGCATAAAGTCCTCTGAGATCATCTTTTATTAGTTGGAAACTGCTGTAGTCGTACAAAACAAAAACGGTGGTTTCTCTCCTTCTTCATAAAGCACACACACAGCTCTGCAAACTCTATGGACGTTTTCTGATTACTTTTCGCGACAAAACCCCGGTTTGACCCGAAATCTCACCGTTTGATGAGAGCTCGGATCGTGTGCAGTGACAGAAAGAGACCTTTACTGGAAATGATGGGACAGAACCATGCAGCAGCCTTCACTGTGTCCCAGCACGGTTTGCTGGTTTCCACCAGGCAGAGTTTGGGTCGGGGTTGCTTCACGTGACAGTCGGATGTAAACAGGTTGTTCTCTCCTCGCATACATCGGTCATGCGGTCATGCAGGAGAGTATTTGTTTAGCTGAGCAGCTGGGATTCAGCTCCAACAGCCGGCCCGGTGCGGAGAGTCACAAAGAAGAAGAAGGAAAGGAAAAACTGGACATGCACGGCATCTAGGTAATAATGGAAAGGCACGGTGAGGGTTTTATTTTGGTGCTTATGAAGAGTTTAGAGCATGCAAAGAACAAAATGGATGTAATCCAACAATGCAGTGAGCATTCATCCACATTTCTTTGTGCTCTTATACCTCTGCTACCATAAAACATATCAAATGAGAAAACTCTTCTTGCTTTTAGGAATGTTTCTTTCTTGCGCATTACTTTCAGATATTATTTGAATCCCAGAAGACTGATGATGAAAGTGCAACTTGGCAAACGATGGATTCTGAACTAAGGAGCAGGATCGCACACAAAGCTTTGTCAAAGTTAGTTGCTCTCCAAGGTGACCAACCTGACGCAATGATCCCAGTTTGCAATTATGGCTACTCTGTATCTTTAATCAGAGATCACAGTTTTTCCTTCTGTTTTATCACAACAAAAGCAGATTGCGAGAGAGCAACAAACGCAAAGCTAAATGCCTAAAAAAAAAAAGATTTGGGTAACTTGAAACACATGATTAGATTTTCAATAACAAAACCGATGGCAGCACTGAACCCGTGGCTGATTCATAACTACACAGCCATAGCAGCACAGCAGACTTCTACAGTGGTGTGTAAAGAGCAGCAGGTTTTCCTCTCACGTCTCGTTTTCAGGGGCATGCTGAATGGGCCGCGGACTCAGGGGGGGGGGGACTAACGGAGAGAGACAGGACAGGGTGGTGGAGCCTGAGTGTCTCAGCGTCCTCCAGAGATGGGGCCCATGGTGAGCGTGTCCTCCTCGTCGATGCCGTCCAGCTCGTCTGTGCGCACGGCGTGGGTGATGAGGTTAAGCTCCTCGGTGAGCGTCTCGAAGCGGTACGCCACACGGATGTCAGGGACGTTGGTACGCCGGATGTCGTTGCTCTCAGGACCTTCTCTATAGTAACTGGGGCCAAGCCAGTAGCTCTTTACCTGTGGTTTGAAAAAAAAAAGATTGAAATGGGAATGCTTGGAGCACAAAGAGTTTTGCATGTGGGTCAATTTTGGCCTCATGTGACCAAAAGACTTTCCCCTGCACGGCTTGTAGCAAACTGCAAACAGGACTTCTTAGGGCAGATTTGTGGAGCATAAAACTAATTGTTAACCTGATAAAAAAATTATCTAATTTAAACTGTGAATCTCTGCTGCTCCTCCAGAGATACCGTGTTTTGGGGATCCTGTTTTAAACGCAAATTTTCTTTTACCTTTTCCACAGCTTCATCTGTGACCTTGTGTTGAGTTCTTCTGTCTTCATGATGCTGTTTAGTCACTAATGTTCTCCAACAAACCTTTGAGGTTTTCACAGAACAGATGCTTTCATACCGAGATGAAACAACACAAAGGTGGACTCTGTGATTGAAGTTATTATCTTTGGCCCTACAGAGGAGCGCTACAGTCAGCGTGTAGCTTCAGTTATTACAACTAAAAACCAAAATCAAGCCAGAAATCTGGGAGTAGTGACAGACTCTGACCTGGACCTTCAGAGCCACATTAAGACAGTTACAAAGTCGGCCTTCTATCACCTGGAGAACATTTCCAGAATTAGAGGAATAATGTCTCGGCGAGGTCTAGAGTGGTCTAGAGTTTCTCTAAATCACTTTATAAATCACTCAGCTTCTCTTTAACCAAATTTGGAGAAGCAGCATTCTGTTTTTACAACCCACTAATCTGGAAGGAACTTCTAGAAAACTGCAAAACAGTCTAAATCCTGGCTCCTTAAAAGCAAGGCTGAAAACTCACCTGTTTAAAGTTGCCTTTGATTTCTGGTAACTTCACTGTTGATAAACATTTGCTTGATGATTTTGATGATGTTTTTTGACAAACTGTAATGTTTATTGCTCGTTTCATAATAGCTGTATTTTGGTTTTATGGTGTAAAGCACTTTGAACTGTCTTGTTGCTGAAATGTGTTTTACAAATAACCCTGATTTTAGTCTATCATGGCACTGAATTGTCTTTGGGTAAACAGAGAAAAGTCTCTTTCCTTTCGCTTCACAACGCTGAAGAACTCGTTGTTGGTCTTTCTCCTAAAGCGCGCGCCAATAAAACGCAATAAAATCTGTGGTTTTAATATGTGAAAAGGTTGAAGGAGTCTCTGTGCTTTGAGGTGCTATAACCTGCAAACCACACCCTCATGTTTGATCATTTCTGACACTCAAAG